GAAAGCTGACATCTTTCCGCAGATTTTTTAAAAAAAAGCACCCTTCTAAGTGCAATAGGAAGCGAGATAATTTTTTTTTTTTTCAAAAAATCACTGTGGCCTTAATTATTTATATTAAGAGCCGAAATTTTGCCACATATTCAATGTAAAGTTGAAGTTTCATTTAGAGTCGATTGCAACTCTCAACTTTAATTATTTTTGTAATAACATTCAGTTAAACAACGAGTCAATTTATGCGACGCCCGCCGCCGCGAATGGGCGGGGAGTGGGGGAAGCCTCGCACGAGTGTCGACGCGCTAGAAAAATCTGAACTCGCGCTTCAAAATCGCTTGCGCTGTAAAATTTTTCAATATCTCAGCTTCTAATGCACTTACAGACTTCTTTTTTTTTTATTGTAAAGGTCTCGAAAAATTATTAACATTGGCAACACTCGTGAACCATTTAATAGCACGGAACTCTCGTGAAAAGTGATCCTTTAAATGTTTCTTATTTTTCATCAATTTTTATCGACGTACTCATCTCGTATATTTATTAAACAATTAATTTGCCACATTTTATTTATTTATAAAATTTCATATTTATAAACAATTATAATTTTAATTACATAGTTCATCAATATTTGATTGCATTACATCTTAACATGGTAATAATTAAGTTTGCTTATGATAGTTTTTATAATTCATTGTAACTTCTAATGCAGCCAAGTTGAAAATTTTCTTATCAATCAGAAATCAACTACTTAATTTTCTTTTTTTTTGCAATGGGCTCAATATTTTCACCATCATTAGTATTATCAGTAGTTTCTTCATCACTTTCATCAAGACGATCGAGTACAGTCTCTATATGTTGCTGATAATTTTCTTCAATGATATTTTCCATAAATTGACTATTCTCCTCCACATCTAAAATCTCACCTTCCTTATCTTTAGTAATTTGAAAGTATTTAAAGTATGATGAATCGGGTTACTTGGGTTACTCGGCCAAAAATCCTTCCCTCGATTAGTTGTGTTACTTGGGTCATTTGGGTTACTTGGGTTACTTGGGTTACTTGGGGTTACTTGGGTTACTTGGCTTAGTTGGGTCATTTGGGTTACTTGGGTTACTCGGCTAAAAATCCTTTCCTCGATTAGTTGTGTTACTTGGGTCATTTGGGTTACTTGGGTTACTCGGCCAAAAATCCTTTCCTCGATTAGTTGTGTTACTTGGGTCATTTGGGTTACTTGGGTTACTTGGGTTACTTGGGTTACTTGGGTTACTTGGGTTACTTGGGTTGCTCGGCCAAAAATCCTTCCCTCGATTAGTTGTGTTACTTGGGTCATTTGGGTTACTTGGGTTACTTGGGTTACTTGGGTTACTTGCGTTACTTGGGTTACTTGGGTTACTTGGGTTACTTGGGTCACTCGGGTTACTCGGGTAAAAATCCTTACCTCTTTCTTTTACTTTTTATTTCAGTTCACAACATTATTATGCACTTTATTTGTAAAAAAAATTTCCGCTGGAGAAAATTATGACGCATATCAAGCTCCGTTAGTTCCTGAAATTGATGAAACCGACGACTTACGATTATATTTGAATCAAAAGTCTAATCATTTAGAGCTTTCACAGAACTTTCCACGGGTGCAAATGCTATTCATACAGCACAACACATTACTATCATCTTCAGCGCCTGTGGAAAGACTGTTTTTGCATGCTACATTATTGGACATCCCAAAATGAAATCGATCGTCACTAACAATGTTCGAGAAGCGAGTCCTCTGTAAAGCCAATAGTACAAAACTCTTTTGTAAAAAAAATATATTATTTTATTTTTATATTTTCTATTATTATAATAATTTATTACTTAGATGTTTAATACTTAGATATTAATGAAAATAAATAAATTATATAAATAAAAGACATTTTCATGTCATCTTTAATTAACTTTCGATTTATTTATACTTTATCATTACTGTTATATGTGGGTTCCATTTTATAAACATTTTATTCGGATTTTTATGATAATTAACGCAGTAATTGATAATTAATAACTGATTGATTCAGTTACCAGTCACCAGTTTAGTAATTGATAACTTAATCATTCATTTGTTAATTTATCGATAATAACTCATAAGTGAATTAACCAGTTACCTGTTATTTATCTGTTAAATAATAACTAATTTAAGCAGTTATAAGTTAATAATTGAGTTACTTTTAACTGAATTATTAGTTATCAGTTCTTTAATTATTAACTTGTAACTTAATTATTCAGTTATCAGTTAACTATTAAGTTCAATTGAATAATCAATGAACTACCTGCAACACTGCTTTGAAGAAGGATTTAAAAAATTTACATTCATCAGCTCCTCTAATACAATCTCATTATATTATGTAAAAACAATAAGTGAGTTCTAAAAAAATGTATAACTTTTGGAGAAAAATGAAACACATTATTGTAAGTTAATAAAATATTGAAACCCTTTAGTTGGTGTCAATTTTAGAATGCTATAGTCATTTTTCAGCGAATTTTGTTCACACTGAAATTCTGCAAGTTTTATTTACTTACGTTACTTTATACGTTATCGTCGATTAGAATTGAATTGCTTTAAAAATTGTTTACACTTCTTAGCTCATCAATTTTTTATAAGAAGATATTTGACTATGCATCCCAGGAATACAGTATCTTTTTCCTAAGTTATTTTTCAGGTCAGTTTAATTATATCGTAATTGAGCTCTATTATGCGTATTTAGTTATTTGATATATTCAAGTTTCTGAGATCTCAATCGTCACGTATTAACTTTTATCAAATGTTTGAAGTATAGAAAATTTCAATTGCTCTTGAAGTCTCAAACTTTAAGTATTTTTTATAGAAATGCTTTCAAACATTATAGTAGCCCATACATAAACTTGGGTAGCCATGCGCGCCACATATTCGAGTGTGCTTTTAGGCTTACTCCTCGACGATGCGTACACGCACACAGGCATTTTTCCTGATCTTTCGCCACATTCATCATCTTTAAGCCTTCCGAGATGAACAGCTTCTATTCATTATCCTCCCCAACACTTTGTCGCTTTCTATATACATAATACGAGAGCTGTGATAATGTGCGGCTTTGCTAACGGTGCAGACGGCGCGTCTAGCCGAAATTCATTGTGTCTCTTTGGCTTTGCGCGCAGACGTTCGAAAACAATGCGACGAGTGCTATTGCGATTGGAGAGGACGTGCCTGAATGTGCGTCGGTCTTGAAAGAATCCAAGACTAGTTCGTATATCGAATCACCAAGTGAAAAATTCAAAATTAAGTTAAATTTGAAAATTAAATTAGCTGGCTCGTAGACGAGTTGCGCGCAGGCATATTATATAGTACACATAAGTCACATGACGAGGTATGCTATTCTCCATACATATACAAATATGACGAAACGTGGTCAAAGTGAAAAGTCGCGTGTGTTCGCAATCGCGTGTAATTGCGATACGTGCGTGGCTCTCGAGCTAAAAGCTCCGAGCGGAACAAATTGTTGCGCGCGCGCGCGGCAATATGGTCAGCTCAGGACGCATTTTACTCTTTAACTCCGATGCCGCGAACAGCAGGGACTTTGTGCATGCCTGCTCGTTGAAAAACTCACAAAGAGCCTCGGATCCTTATCTGTGGTGCGCACTGATTCTCGAGAATTCGGTCGCTTACTCGTGTATGCATATAGCTATTGCAAGTACGCGACTCTATAAGTGCGCGCGTGCACTGCACCGAATAGCCTTTTTAGCGCCCGATGGTTTGTAAAAATTCTAGGTACACGAGATTTGTGTATTTCTTTGTTCTTGCTACGAAAAAAAACAAAGCTAATACTGAGCTCGATATATAACGGAGGATAATTCATGGCTTTTAATTAGAGTACGTTAGAATTATTTATACATCTTATACACGTAAGCCCGTTATTGCCTGTGTGGATCCGATATCGAACGTCGAGAAAATTAACTGCCCTTCTAACTTTTTGCTCCTTTTTTCCTTTCTTTTTTTGTAACAAAAAGATCAAGAAACAAAAAAATATGGAACAGCGCGTATAATTATTTTCATCGACGCTCTATCTCGTTTCGATCGAATCGCTCGATGACGATACTAGCGCGAATATCCGTACTTTCAATTTTACAATGGATTTTACACGTAAATTATAGAATAAAATGTCGCGATGAAAAGAAGCCAGCTTTTCTTTTTTCTTTCATATTCGCTTAATGAGAGAATAATTCATTTTTATTTTCCACAAAGTCCAAGTTCGCGCATCGGCGTGCAAATCGAAATGCGCCCGTAATAAGCATTTTCTCTTTTTTCCTTCCTAGCGCGAGCAACAAAACATTAATCAACGCGCGTACACGAAAACAATGTGAACTCAGCCGCGTGCATTATATACTACCAAGTGTCGCATTTCCCTGTACCTGCTGCGTACTGCGTCAATGATTTCCAGATGTTTAATCTATCAGGTCGCGCGTCACACGCGTTGCTTTTCATATTTATGCCTACGATAGTATGATATAACCGCAGAGGTGAGCCTCTATCGTCATCAGCGACCCGTCAAAACGCGCCTGTTTAGAGAGATGTAACGCTCGAACAATAACGAAACATCGTGCGTGTGTGTGTGTATGCATCTGTCTAGCCTCTAATGCGAGTGCACCCAACAAGCTCCGCCGGGACCTTATTCATGAGCATGTGAACGGCCGTCGAATCATAATAATAGGAAAAAAAAGAAACCTGTCGAAATATCCTATATCAATTTGCGCTCGGCTAAAAATAAAAAAAAAAGGAGGAACATAACAACAAAAGGCGTGCGGTGGACGATCTCGCTGGTGCGTGAAGGCGTAACGAGGTAAATATACGCGCGTCGGAGCATCGCGCCCGTGGAGCTCATCGCCTGACCGACGTATAAAAAGCTAAGCTACTCTCGAGCTAAGCTGCACACAGTTGGTTCGACGCGTAAGGCGAAGTTTATATACACTCTTCTTGCATGTCGAGCACGTAGAGATCGTTCGTCGGTACTTTTCTCTTTCTCTGTCTCTCTTTCTCACTTTGTCTTTTCTCATGCGATCGGAAAAATCTCGTTCTCGTCTTTTATCTCGTTAAACTGCCAAGGGCGAGAAGAAACATGTTTAGTGCACGCGTGTTGATTTTGACGCTGGTGATTGTTGTTGATGCTGTACTCTCCGAAGAGGCGGCCAAGACCAACTCATCGGCGACTTCGATCAATTTGTTCCATACAGGGGTAAGTGCGATCGATCGATCATCACGTTGAAAATTCGAGTTAAAGCTCTCTGCGACAATCTACGACAATTCACCGTTTTCGATAATGACGAAAGCTTACGTTAACTAAGGGTTCGAAAGATAGTCAGGGCTCGGTCTCGAGAAGAGCCATCGAGGAGACCATCACTCCGCCGAAGTCGTCCGACTATTCGCCATGGATTAAGAAATTTCCACTGAACGACATTCGTCGAGGACCACTCTCGCCACCGAGGGTCACCGAAGACGTTGACGAGCCCTCTACCGAGAGGCCACCTATCAAGAAAACCAGGACGGTCGGCCCTGTGCAAGACTCCGAAGGTGAAGCGAACTCTCACTTTTTTTTCTTTCTCCCTCGAAAATGCAATTGTACCCGAAGAGATAAGATCTAACTACTTGCGTGACGTTTTACGACTGTGTGACTACGCGCGGTGCAATAATTACACTTTCGAAACGACAGAGCCTAATGATTATAATAATTTTTATAATAACAACTGCAGGCGCGAGTGAAAGTGTGACCACCGTTGGACTTTCGCTACTGAAAAAAAATTGCGTAACGATTTCTCATCTTCAGCATCATACTCCACTGGATCGCGTTTGAATCGAAACGCAAAATGTCAGGAATTAGCAATAACGAAGCGCAGCTATATATACGAAGCGCGTATAACAATGATTAATTCTATTATGGCTCGTTTAGCAATTGCTTCACCACTCCGATGACATTATACGCGTATAATATAATGGCACAAACAGTCCAGTGGGTATAGAAACAAGACGTAATCTCGACGCTGAATCGCTGACCTCGTTGAGCATTCGCGTAACGATTCGTTCGACGAATAATATACATACCGTCGTCGGTAGTGCACAGCTATGTTCGGTCCTCTCGTGCTTCACTCGCAAAAGCAAACCCCTCGCGTTGAAATCCGAGTATCATTCCCCATTACACACACGCGTTGGTCGCGTTGATCGTGGTGTCGGCGGCAACAGTTGGCGAAGCAGCGCATGTCGTTAAAATCAATTCTCTCCCTTTGTGCGCGTGCTATGTGCAGATCCAAGCAAATCAGCGACCACGGGCGAGAAGGACAAATCGACGTCGTCCTCCGAGGTGCTTCTGGCCGCCGGAGGAGCCGGTGGCGAGCAGCAGCTCAAGGGTGTAGTGTCGGCGTCCGGCGCTGGACCGGCGCCTCGTTTCCACGGCAACAGACCGAGCGACGACAGGTGCGTGTGCAGGACTGCGTGCGCGAGCTGTAATAACGAACCGTGCGATAGCGCAGCTCGCGCGCTATCTATTACATATATTATAAGGGATATATTACGAGAGAGACGATGATTGCCTATATAGCGAAACTCGTATCATTTTGTCCGCAGGCACGGCTGGAGGAGCTCCGGTTATCATGGATTCGGCAAGGATAAGTATTACGACCATCGCGATCGTTACCCTTATGACAGGTGATTTTTCTTTAGCACTTACATGTAGACGTACTACTAGCTGGGTGCAGCGCGCGTGACTTTTCATTCGAGTCGATGGTACTTTACGTTCTTCCTCGTTTTGTTTTTTTGTGCACTCGTGCATATAGCTGTGTCGTTTTTTCGGATGTACCATCGTTAAACGAGAATAAGTTGGTGCGTGCAAAAAAAAGCTCGAGTGACTCTTCGCTAGATAAAACTCCGTGATTCGTCGGACGTTTTATGTATATAACTTTTTGAGTGAGCACTCGCTCGATTTTTTTTTCCCCTTTTTTTTTTCGGTTTCTTCCATTTTCATTTCACCGAAAACGTTTCGTCGAGCTTCTGCTTTTGTGTTGCTGCTTCTGCAATACGCATTTATACAACATGGACATAATCGTCGTCGTCCTCGTATAACGTACGCGTGTCTCTCTCTGATTCAGATTTGGCTCGGTGTCAAAACCCAACTCGGACTACTCGAACGACGGCGACCGGTAAGTGTTGGTTTCGCTATAGCGCACATTACGCGATCTCGATATTTGCGGATGAATAATGACGCTCGTTCGCGTGGGCGCATATTGTCTTCTATGTACAATAGCTACAGTCAACGGCCGAGCTCGAATTACGAAGCCGATCGCTTTGGCTCGGCTACCGTTGGGGGTGGCGGTCGACCCCTGCCTTATCAGAGCTCCAACTACGGCTACGGCGGCTACAGGCCTCAGCGGCCCGGCATCAGCGCCAGTCAGATCGGCGAAGGTGAAGCCGACAATCCTTACGGCGATGGACCACCGCCCGACGCGGCCACCGCCGCCAATATTCAGACTCAGAAGGTCAGTGGCCCTCCCTCTCCCCCTCTACAGCTGTCAATTGAAACATATATGTATAAGACACACGAGCCGTATACGCGTGCAGCGAGAGATAAGAAAAAAAGGAGCGAGAAACGACGATGTATTGCCACGAGACTCGGATATTTATCAGAGAGAGAAGAGAGGGTGCCGCTGATTGGATTTATAGACTCCACCTGTGACCGGACCCGGCGCTGCTCTCTAATGGAATAAGAGCTTTCGCGTGATTTTTGGCTTCCACTTGTGCACCTCTGCCTTCTCGCGCCGCAATTGATGCATCGTGTGTCGTGCGGTGCCTTTGTCTTAGGAGCTTTTTCCGCTTTACCACGCGTTGCGATAATTACGATCTACGAGCTATTCATCGTCGCAACGGATTTTTCGCTCGCGCGCACGTTTCCGTGATATAAATATTTCTTTGTGCAACTTTGCCCGTTTCAATATAGTATACGTGTATTATTTAATTTAATTTGGGAAACTTTTAGCTCGAGAGCATAAATACGGCTTTATTTGATAAAATCAAAAGCGTATAGTCGTGCGCTGTGCGCAACCGAGAAAATGTAATTGGCTCGAAATGTAAATTAAATTGCGCGTTATGTGAATAATAGAACGAGTGCGCAATTGGACGCAGAAATTATTAACGATCTCCATGAGTTTCGTTGTTTCGTTAATCGAGCACGAGACGAAGTTACATCGAGAGTTTATAAATAATTCCAATTCGTGCATTAGTTGCACGGGTGAAAAAACGACGTCGCGACAGACTGGAGCGCATCCGCGTCGAGATGATTTGGTAATACGCAAATCGCTGCATCGTTTCAGTGTACATTATTACAAGTTCATTTGGCGGCACGCGTTTAGTAATGTTCTTCGCTAGTCGCTTGCATCGATAAATTTGAAATCGATAATGGTGGGTTTTTTATGCAAAGTTGCGTCGCGCATCTCTCGAGAGCATCGATCTTACTCCACGGAAATTCAGAACTACAGAGCAAACAACTTGCTACGCGATCTGTAACAACATCATTATGCTTGCCTGCACATGTACATAGTAAAATTATCGACAGGCGGTGGCTTTGAAGGCACTGGCTGGAGTAGCGTTGATTGGTGCAGCGGCCGCCCTCGCCTCGAACCCCGTGCTCCTGCCAATCAGCGTCATATCCGGCAAAAGACGACGCAGAAGACGTTCGACTGGAGATGCGCTGCTGCCGGATCAAGCTAGTAACGGCGGCGGCGGCATCAGCGGCGTCGACAATTACGCGCTCACCGCTTTGCTGCAGGGCTACATCCAAGCCAAGCCCAACAAGGTTCGTATTATGGATTTATCTCAAAGACAGATGCTTTATACGTATAATATACACGTAACCTTCGTGACTTTTGCCTAAATGGGGATTATAGAGGAGCTTCGGATCGATCGGATGACAATATTCTCGAAGAAAATGAAAGATCAGCTCAAAGTTCTCTGGAGAAAGTATCGTATCATTTTTCCTTTGATATTTGTTTCGCGTCGATGGTAAAAGAAATTCAATTAAGCGCGTGGTGCGGAGTTGGAAAAAAATGTCGCGCTGAAAAAAGGACAAGAGAAACATCCGCCTCGTTCTTTTTTTTCAATAAAATAAATAACGAGCTATCGCGAATGCAAATACATTTCGTTTTATTTTCTTCGAGGGAGAGGCTTTTTTTCCGCAACAAAAAGCTAGCGGTGATTTACATGAAATGAAAAGACCAGGTGATGCCCGATCGAATTTTATACACAGCATGCATATCACAAGCGGTCCTTCATGGTGTTATTTATTCGCCGTACATTAGCATATCGAAGGGCTTTACGCGAAATCAATCAAACTCGAGGAAAATTCGCTCGGGTCCATCTAACCGGCCGCGAGAGCCACTGAATATTCAATTGTTAGCTCTCGGTCGAGATATCAAAGAGCTTCGCTGGCGCCAAGCAGCTTATCTGTATATATACTAGAAAATTATTATAAACGATTTTATTCAAATAATAACTTATATGAATAAATATAAAATACAAATATAATTCAGATTACATATTTTGAAAGCGAATAAATCGATATCATTCTTAATTTTAAACTTTAAAATTCATTAGTTATTTTAAAAAATGAAGTAAGCATGTGATCTGGAGATGATACATATTATTAATCACCGAAAGATACATCAATCTTGTTTGAATAAACGAATTTCGCGTGATTATGTGCTCGCAGGTATCAAAAGGCGAGACTGAAACGGGCGAAAAGCAGCAGCAGCATCATCAGCAAGAACTGGTCATAAGTCCCGAGTGCGTGGCTCGACTCGCTTGCAACGTGCATCGAGATTATCTGCTGGAGCTGGACAAAAATCGCGAGCTGTTTGCCGGCAACGACACCGAGGCTCAGGCACTGCACGGCCTGGAGCACTGGTTCGACAGCTTGTACGTATACAACCTGAATGACGCGTAATTACATGCAAATGAAATTTATGCATTACAATAAGGTGGGAGCACGCCGAACTCGAGCTTGCACAAAATGTGTTGATATTTACGTAGGCGCGCGCGCGTGCGTCTATGAAATTTTAATGAGATACTCGTGTAAAATCGATTCCCTTTGCTGTCTCTTGAACACGCGTCGTGTGTATACACAGGATCGCACGACGATTTCTCATAAACTCGAGCGAGAGATCGACGACGCTCCATTGCTTCGATGAAGGGCCATTGTCGGCGTGAGTTTACTCGTGCAACTTTGAAAAGGCTTGATTGGCGATTCGCCGCTGCTCCCAGATGAGAGATTCAATGATTATGCTCGTACCTCGGCTCGGCGGGCCTTTCAGTCGAGCGAGCTTTTCAAAAGAAGTACTCGCATTTTCTGCCCGTAATAAGAGTGCGAGCGCGTGAATACGTGCTTTTGTCGAGTCACAGTCAGATCGCCCTGCGCTTCGTTACCGGATTTCATTAGCCTCGATGGTCAAAACAATGCGAACGATATGCTCGTATCAGGGGGTTGTAACATTACCGATTGTTCCATCCTACGAAAGTCTAAATAGCGTTTTTTGAAAAATTTCAAGCGAACGCTACTTGAAAGATAAAATGAATAGGTTATTCATAGCTTTTTTTTTATTTTTCAGAGTTCACAGTAACATATTGGTTGCGGATTATCTCTCTAATGAAGTAAAAACTATGATTCAATCGGCAGTAGAAATTGGATCGAACAGGAATGCCACGTGCGATGTATTCTCTTGCTTGGATACGCCACCATCGTCAGCGCAATCGCCTGACGATAAGAAGACTCATTGATAATACTTGAGATACTTTTTTTACCCAATGTATTAGCAATTTTTGTATTACGATTACTAATATATTGTAAATATTTTTAACTTTCAGATTCATTGATATATTTAAAATATATGATGTTTTACTCCGGTTCATATTCATTGCATTTCCAATCCTCTTAATACGTAAATTTGATTCCCATTACTTCTGAAGTACCCAAATTTATCAGGAGTTTTCTAAGTCATTTAAGACTCCGCTCATGTCAGGAGCTTTTTTATTTAGTTTCAGTTTTAAAACTTTTACAAAGTCTTCTTAATAAAGTGGTAGTAAATGAATAACTGTAGAAAATTTTGATATTTTTGGAGGTAACTTCCGAGCTGTAAATTATGTCGTTTTAAAGATAAATTATTGAAAATTATCGACTTAATTTTACCAATGATTTGACACAGCATTAAAATTATACAATTAATGATCGTATCAAACTCAAATATGTTTCACTCACGAACGCAATTTACGTTGGTAAGAGATATTAAATGGTTCGATGAATAAAAATTTGACATTTAGGATTTTCACGCGACATTCATCTTTAACTCTAATTCATTCACGCCAAGACTTGAGAGGATTAAAAGATACTATACCCCCGACAGAAAAACAATTGTTCAAGAAAAAGTAAAAGTTCGTTCATAAAGATCAATAATTTTTTTCACGAAAATTTAATATGATACTTTTAGTTACTAAGACAAATTATGAAGGATATGTACATAAACCAAATTCAGTCATCTCAGTACTCCTCGGTACATCTATGATGTTGTTATAAGGCTTTCTGCTGCATTAAAATGAGTTCACTTTTTTTACGAAAATCACTTGCTGCGGTCAATTCGATCACATGCGGACTTGACCGGAATTTCAAACTCATAAGTAAAAATTGTAACATTTAGAATTATTATTACGGAATTTTATGTTTTGTTAGACTTTTTTACTTTCTCCATGTAAATTTAATGAGCTTGAATTCATAGGGTTTTCATATCTCTAATTGTAGGTAAACAAATGTAATAAATTGTAATAAAAAGTAAAAAACTGTAGAAAAACGTATCACATGTCCGAAATCGTAAGTAATCTTATTATGTACTTTATTTTAAAAAATTTTCCACTGGGGACGTACTCACATATTATACATACACTAACTCGGATTAAGATGGTAATTCAATTAAAAAAAATTCAATTATACAGTTTAATTAGAAATTATATCGTTGTTCATTAAATTCTCCAACTTAATAAAAAAAAAATTTATTTTATATTGATCCACACCATCTTTAGTCTTTTTTGTAGCGAAGCGAGATTTATTGGATTTTCTCTGTGAAATCACAAGTTTTAATTTTATGTAAGCCATGTAATATATTATTTCAATGAATAACCATATCTGGATTTATAATGAATTTTTTTTCCTATTACAGCTCAACATTAGGATCAAAATTGCATACTTTAAAGTGCGTCTTATAAGCAAAATATTGCAATATATGAACGACATAGAATCGATACATAAAGACATCACACATACATGTGAAATATGTGGAACGACATTCTCTTTTAAAATCAATCTTCAAACTCACATCGATAAGATACACAACAGAACAAGATACCTATTTGATCTATGTAGAAAGACATTTTCACAAAAAAAACTTTTTCAAAATCCACATTAACCCATTAACCCATTAACGCGCAAAAGTGCAATTTTGTGCATGAATTTTCCGTTGTAAAAAAATTATAGATAAAGTTAAAATATTTTCTTGAAAATCCATACCCAGGGGTTTTTGGGTATGCTCTTTCAGTATCCGGTGTTATTTTTGTGATAAATAAACATTATCATCGTTTATTTTGCCATTAAAAACAAAAAACGTGATTTTTTGACTCAAAATTTTTTTTCAAAGTCGATTTTCTACCTTGCCTTGCCTTCGGAGGGTTCCCATAACACCAGAAATCGTACACTTTTTCTCTGAACCTTCAAAAAATGCGCTGCCGCGATTTTTATCTTGCCCCTATATTTCTAAAATGGCGAATTTATACCGAGCAGCGATATGAAAATTGCCTTATTTTTTATTTGTAAATTATTGACTTTATAAAAGAAAGTCATACAATGAAAAGTGTTCAAATTTGTTCATAGAATACATGTGAATTTTTTTTAGAATTTTTTAATAACTTTTTCAGAATTTTTCAGATTTTTTTTGGAACATTCTGGATTTTTTCGACAGGCCGAGAAATGGTCGTATTTTGCAAAATTTTCAAAGTGGTCTGAAAAATTCTGAAAAAATTCACACGTATTCTCTAAACGATTTCAAATAAGTTTTTACACTCCAAATTGTACTTTTGAGTTCATATTTAGCGCATGTAAAATAGGTTCTGAGTAAAAAATGAGTGAATTTTTATGCCGCTGCTCGGTATAAATTCGCCATTTTAGAAATATAGGGGCAAGATAAAAATCGCGGCAGCGCCTTTTTTGAAGGTTCAGAGAAAAAGTGCACGATTTCTGGTGTTATGGGAACCCTCCAAAGGCAATGCAAGGTAGAAAATCGACTTTGAAAAAAAATTTTGAGTCAAAAAATCACGTTTTTTGTTTTTAATGGCAAAATAAACGATGATAATGTTTATTTATCGCAAAAATAACACCGGATACTGAAAGAGCATACCTAAAAACTCCTGGGTATTGATTTTCAAGAAAATATTTTAACTTTATCTATAATTTTTTTACAACGGAAAATTCATGCACAAAATTGCACTTTTGCGCGTTAATGGGTTAACGCGGTGCACATGGGTGTCACATATTCATGCGATGCATGCGAAAACGACGTATAAAAAAAGGCTCAAAATCCACATCGATTCGGTGCATAATAAAATTCTTCATGCGCGCGATAAAACATTTCTGAGAAGACAAGTCTGAAAATGCACATTGATTCGGTGCATAATGATGTCACATTATATGAGAAAAAAAATCACATAAAAGGTTCGACTCAAGATCCATATTGATGTAGTGCACAACAGTGTTAGACATAATTGTGACATATGCGAAAAGAAGTTTACGAGAAAGAAAGATCTCAAAAAACACATCGATGAAATACACAGTGGCATCAAATATACGTGTGATGTTTTGTGGAAAGAAGTTCTCAACTAAGGGTAATTGCAAAATCCACACCGACTCAGTGCATAAAGTTATTACGGTATACGTGGAAAAAAATATAAACAAAAGGAAAATCGTCTCGAAACCACACTGATACAATGCATCACAACTTAATAAACGTATAAAATTTAATTTACTTGTTCAAAAGTTTAATTTGAAAATTTTCATTTATAATAATACCATGATTTCCTCCGATGTTATTTCATTATGTAAAAAAATGAATTTTAAAAAGTCAATAAATAATTGGAGGTTTGCAGCCACAAATAAAGCTCAATAGAGTAATTGTAATGCTAATGAAATGTTTAACCCCTTAAGTTAATGTCAATTTTTGATCTCATTTTGGCTTAAGACAAGAGTAATTCAACCAATCAGAAGCCGTTTTAAGCAGATTGATGATGACTTTTTGGTCAATCACTTTTGTGCATGAAAAAAACACTAATTAATAATAATAGAATACAATAAATTAGTATTAAATTATATATAAGATAACATAAAATATAATATAATGTATAATGTAATGTAAAGAAGAGAAAGAAAATAAATTTCATCGTTTAAAATGCATACTCGTGCTTTTCGTCGGTTCTTTTCTGTTGATTTGTATTTCGCTTCCAATTTAGTTTGCAATATCTTTTAGGTTAGATGATCATCTAGTATCTTATCTGAAGCGTCGGGCACACGACGACTCGTTTACATATCAAGCTCGCGATCAGCAGTGGCAATGAAACGTCGTCTGCAAGCGTAACTCCAAAATCCAAACAAAAAATATAATAGGTATCAAACTTTGAATGTATATTTCTCAATCTAAATCAATCTTGAATCGAAGATTTTTTTTAACTATGATCTTGTGATTACTAAAATTTGAAATTTTGCATTGTTACGTAAAAAAAAAGAAACAATCAAAATGTCATTACACAAAAAAATAAAAATGAGCTGTCATTGTGCAAGACGGTTGTGATAAAGTTATTTACGAGCTGAATTATTACATCTTAAACTGATGTATCTCTAAACTTACTGCAGTTTTAATCTTTATCGTTCTTGTTGATTCATACGCAATATTGCCCAATGTATGACGTGTGTATAATACATATATGTATACTTTTGCAGAGTAACAAATGGAACTCATGAAATCATTCAAAATGTTACGTCCTGCGCGAATATCTGGCATAAAATGTCCGTCAGAGCTTAATTTCCACAAAACAGTAAGTACTCAGTCAGTATTTGTTATAGTGAAAATCAGGATACTTTACTTTCAGTTCTCAAAAAATATTTGACATTGCAGAGTTCTTTCGCTACTAAAACCACAAAAGATGAATTCTCAAAAAATCTAGCATCTGGTCCACAGTTGGAAGATTTTATATCTGGTAAGAATACAGAATATGATGGGGCACTCAAATTGGAAAAGGGAGATAAGTCTCGACTACGATTACCTCCTTGGCTCAAAACTCAGATACCCATGGGTAAAAATTTTAGCCGCATCAAATCTCAACTTCGAAATCTGGGTTTAAGTACAGTTTGTGAAGAAGCAAGATGTCCAAATATTGGAGAATGTTGGGGAGGTGGTACCCACGGAACAGCTACAGCCACAATAATGGTATCCATTTTTGAATTGCATAAATATATTTTTTAATTATAACTAGCTTATAATTTATTGATTTTTTAGTTGATGGGAGATACATGTACCAGAGGATGTAGGTTTTGTTCTGTGAAAACTGCTAGAGCTCCTCCTCCCTTAGATCCTGAAGAACCAAAGAATACAGCAACAGCAGTTACAGAATGGGGCTTAGATTATGTAGTTTTAACTTCTGTAGATCGTGATGGTAAATTGTACTTCAAAATATCTTTTTAATAAAACTAGATTAAATGTAAAATATATTCCTAACTTCTAACTATTATTTTAGATATGCCAGATGGAGGAGCTAGTCATATTGCAGCCACAGTCAAAGAACTCAAAGCAAGGTAAATTCTTGACCATTGATCATCGTTGCCAAAAATTCACTATTCTTGTCTTGTTTATAAATCACTAAATCTATACTTTCTTTTTTAGGAGTAATATTTTAGTTGAGTGTTTAGTTCCAGACTTTCAAGGAAATATTGAATGTGTAAAAACAATTGTTGCCTCAGGATTAGATGTTTATGCTCACAATATAGAAACTGTAGAGAGGTTGACGCCGTTTGTTCGCGATAGACGCGCCCGATATCAGTGAGTAAAATAAATAAATTTATTTAAATGAAAATCATTGTTTAAACATTTGTTTTTTATTTTTAATAGGCAGTCACTGAAAGTCCTAAAAGCGGCAAAGGACACTAATCCTGATTTGATAACAAAGTCATCAATCATGTTGGGTTTAGGAGAAACAGATGAAGAAGTAATGCAAACAATGAAAGATCTTAGGGCAGCAGGTGTTGAAGCTGTAACTCTTGGACAATACATGCAACCGACAAAAAGACATCTGAAAGTTATTGAGTACGTTACACCGGAGAAATTTAAATCGTGGGAAAAAGTTGGAGAAGAATTAGGATTTTTATACACAGCTAGTGGGCCTTTAGTAAGATCATCCTATAAAGCTGGCGAATATTTCCTAACAAATATTTTGAAAGAAAAAAAGGGAATAAAAGTAGAGAATGAGGTCACACATAATAGTGCTCAATAGTTATTAACTTAATTACTTTGATAGAATATTGTTCAAGTACAAATTTACTGGAGATATTTAGATTTTTTTAAATTGTTCCAATTTTTTCGTTTAAACATCGCAAATTGAAACAGTTTGATAAAATAGTAATGTTGATTTATTTTTTAAATTGACTTATTTGCTAAGCAAATTCAAATGTTATACAAATATATTTCAAAATACTTATAATGTAAATAGACAAATTATATTGAAATAAAGACCATATTCACAAAATCATCAGAATGAAAAATTAACGAATGTTACAATAAGAAACAGTAATTAAGTGTTAATCTTTATTTACTCTCGACCACTGAATAAAAATTGATGTTATCAATATGTAAATTACTTTCATCATTCTGTATCCATTGCTGCAGATCTTTCTTCAGTAGCAACAGCAACTTGAGGATCTTGGGCAAGAGGATCTGCAGGAGGATCTTGTGGTGGTCTATCATCAGATGGTGCATCACCATCTGAAGGTCTGGTGCGTTTATCATCACCTTCAATTTCAGAAAGGTAACGTTGAGTTTCTGCTTCATCTAAGATTTTGAAATCAGTTCCTTTTCCAACAACTCCAATAGAAACGTTCTAAAAAAAATAACCATTATTATATACAATATTTTACATTATTTTGTTTTAAAAAAAATTATTGTTTACCTTAGTAGATAAATCAGCCTCATTAGGTAAGGTATCACGCAATGATCTCAAACCATGTTTGATGAGGTCTTCTACTTCACAACTCATAAATTCATTAAGATGTTTTTCTAAATAAGTTCGGGCACTTTGAGATCTTGCACCAATAGCCATAGCTTTGCAATCAAAATAATTGGCCGATGGGCACGTTTGATAGATGTGAGGACCTTGATCCTGAAAGAAGAATTGATTAATGTAATATATAATTTTTAAATTAACAAAATTTAAAGAAAATATTTACATCATAACCAGCTACTAATAATCCTACTCCATATGGCCTCCTATCATATCGTTGAGTGCAAGTCTGCATTTTATTTCCTAAGTTTGTGATGAGCCGACTGACTGGCAAGGTATTATCATGAGAATATTTATAATTCAAACATTCTGTTCTCATGTATCGGCTATAAGAAATGAATGAATATTTTAATAAAATATTAACTTTTTTCCATAATAAAGAACTGATATTCAACTAAAATATTACCTCAACATTCTGGCATCAGCAGTAAGACCAGACATGGCAATGCCAATGTGCTTGTCAATGGGAAAAATTTTCTTTTGATGAGATGATAATTCTGAAGTTGCTCTCTTTAAAGCTACAATAACAGCATGAGTTTTGTTTTTAAGGCCAACGGTGGCAGATCCAAGTTTGACTGCCTCCATGGCATATTCAACCTGGTGCAAACGTCCTTGTGGACTCCATACCGTAACATCACTGTCATACTGATTTCGGAACTGCAAAAAGACATAAAACTTAAAATTTTGCTGAACTTGAAGCTACAAAAATACAATGTGACAAAATGTCCAATAAACCGGCTTTAATGAAACGATGACATGACAATAACACAAAAGTCACTAAAATCTCAATTGCAAACAATCTTCCACAATGACTTCATTTCAAATTATGATGTTTAGATAAATTTTTATAATAATAAATTGTAAAGCACCATTTTTGAAGCAGAATAAATATGAAAATATTCGGAAAAATAAATTGCTTATTTCACATTTTAGGTTAGCTTTGCAAAAGTCATAATCATTTATTGCGAATCTTACCATTTTGAAGTCTAAGACTGTTTTTCAACAGCAACCACTACTTTTCACTAAAGGTTTCAACAATGCAACAACAATTGGGGACCAATTGAATTTGAAACTGTTGTTTCGGAAATCGGCGTGATGTATCAAAAATGAATCTCTGGGACACGCAGAGATGCCGCAGTGTTGTGTATGTGCCGTTCAGCCCCAACTGAGCGATTAAGGTGAATTCGCAATGCCACGGTAAGAGCGCGAAAAAATAGGCACTGGACTTTGAATATGAAATCGATACGAATGCGTTGAGAATTTTCCCGAATTTAAAAAAAATGTTACTAGTTATACGGCAAAAAAAAATCTTTTTTTAGAGGCGCAGCATAAATGTCAGTTTTGAAAAATTATTGATGTTTTTGCATAATTACGCGCATGTACTCGAGTTGACTTTGAATAACACTTTCAATAACGAAAATTCCTCCAAGTAGTAAAGAAAAGTAAATAATCCTGATAACATCGTGCTTTCAAGTACATTTTAAAAGTCATAATAATTACATACGTCGAATGAAAAATCAGTAACTCGATATAATATACATCGACGCAATCGTGCAGTGTGTTAATCCATGGATGTCGACGGCCTTGCCAGGTCAACGAACGCCTCTCTGCTGCATTCGCTACGTAATCCGCCAGATCGATTTACTCATATTACCGATCAACGCCTGCCACCGCCTCAACGACTACGTGTATAGACGTCTACTACGAGCCAATTGATTGTAAAAATTTGTTGGCTCTCTCGTTGCATAGTGCACAGATGAGAAGTTAAGCTAGAGCTCGAGCTCCACATAAGTACTAAGCTGCAACCTCGTTACTCTCGCATAATACGCAATGCATCGGCTCGCGCGTCCAGTGTTATGTCTCGAATCTAGTTCGCAGTGGCCGAGAAGCCGTCTCGCTGGATAGACCGATTTTCGCGCGCGACCCACGAATCTTGCAATATATCGTTTCGTCATGGATCGCTGGTCCGGTAAAGTTGCCGTGGTCACGGGTGCCAGTGCCGGAATAGGAGCTGCGATTGTCAAAAAGCTCCTGGAATGCGGTAAGGAGCATGGATGTTTGTAGCTTTCGTAGTTCTCATTTACATTGGAATTAATGAGTCATTTATAAATTGAAATTGGACACAAATTGTTCGAGCAAGATGCATGAAAAAAATACCCGCAATAACACTCATTTTGATAATTAAAAAATCATCAAGTAAGCATTTCTACGACAACAATATGCACGTTACTCCCCGACCCTAATGGAAGTTATTACGGTCGTTTACGCGCACAATTGACGAACAATAAAATAATGCAAGCCCCATATGCGATGTAGGTCTGATAGTGGTCGGGCTGGCTAGAAGAGTCGAGAGAATCAAGGAGCTGACCGACGACCCCGAGGCCAAATTACACGCGGTCGAGTGCGACGTGACGAACGAGAAGAACGTCGTGACCGCCTTCGCCTGGGTCAAAGAGAACATCGGCTCGATCGACGTGCTCGTCAACAATGCCGGCGTCACCAAGGAGACGACTCTGTCCGGTACCTACCAAGTTTAAGAAAACAGGACGGTAACTTGCCGATTTTCATTTTGCCTTACAATTATGCAGATGGAAATCTCGAGGAGTGGCGGCGCGTGTTCGACGTGAACGTGCTCGGCTTGTGCGTGTGCACGCGCGAGGCCGTTCGCCACATGCGCGACTCCGGCGAGGACGGCCTGATCGTGCACATCGGCAGCTTGGCCGGCGAGCGAGTGCCACCCGTGCCGGCCTTCAACGTCTATCCAGCCGCCAAGAGGGCCATCAACGCCTTGGCTCAGACTCTGAGATACGAGCTCGCCGGCTCGAAGATTCGCGTCTCCGTAAGTTTTAATTGTCACTATGACAGCTGCCCGCGATAACTGGGCGTTTTTACTTTTCGGGCGTGCTAACGTTCCCCCGTATCAGACCATTAGCCCGGGTGTGGTTGCCACGGAATTGCTCGCCGATTACTCGACCTTTACACCCGAGGTACTTAAGCATATGCCGGTGCTCCATCCTGGCGACGTTGCCGAGGCAGTCGCTTTCATCCTGTCGGTGCCTTCGCATGTCTTGGTAAAACATCATGGAATTTTAGAAATTTGACTTATAAAAATTCAGCAATCGTCGAAGTTAAATTTTTTTCTTATTTCTTGTATTACAGGTACAAGATATCGTCCTTCGCCCGGTTGGTGAGTCTTGGTAAAAGAATTGGACGATCTTTTCATCTCGAAAATGCATTTTTGAATAGTCCATGCTACGATTTACAAGTAAATATAATCATATATATCTATATTTTTAATGAGAGATTCAATAAAAACAAACGTATTTTTAAAGAAATTTCTTTTATTGTGTGACGAAATACTTACTTACAGATACATGTGATACATTAAAATTAGTTTTATATCCTTTTCGAACTCTTCACCGTTACATCAACACCTGACCTTTCAAAATTAATCTTCAAAGTCTTAAGAGACTTCAGAAAAAGCTTTATGTTTCATAGAATTATAAATTTTGATTATTTGATGGTACAGCCTACGTAGAATTAAATTATTATTTTTAAGATTGCAGAATTTTAACGAAATTCTTTGTTTATCAAAAGGTAATTAATGCTACAAAGAGTATTCGCGCGAGAAAAGTGTATGTTACTGTTCCGACGATAAGATTTGTTATAATTCTATTAGCGCTTCTGGTAATACATGCAATTTACTTTCTACCCTATGAGAAAGAAAAAAAATTTTGTTTGGATTTTTGATGAATGATTATGCACTATATTTAAAAAATTATGAGCATAAGATCAAATTTAAATCAAAGAATCAATCATTAATAAATAATATTTCGATACCTAAGTAAAAAGGTAGTAATGATTTCTTCTCTCAAAGATATTTTGTGAATAATAATGCAAGAGCTATGTATATAAAAAAACGAACAAATAAAATCATGAAGACAAGTAGGTGCCAGATTTAAAATTCAATATGGTACATCTAATATATCTCCGTGTCAATGACACTAATAATAAAATTAGAGAAAAAGAATATTAAAATTTGGAAAAAAATTCAAAGAAGAAGATGAGAATACATGCATTTATTTACAGTAGAAGATGAGGTATCTCGATTAGTGCAACCGAAATTTGAAAATACCTTGGTGTTAGATCCTCCGGAAGATCTCCCAATTCATCCAACGATGGATGATGAAAACGTTCCTCTTTAAATATGGTTCGCACTTTCTTCCTAAATCGAGATTATGAATCAGTCAATCGAAATCCTCACCTCCTCTTGTCACTTCGATTTTATCCAATAACGAGCTCTCTTAATTTCCCCGACGGGGGAAAACTGAGACAATCCGAGAATTATCCAAGTTTAGCAAGTGACATAGTTTCGGGAAAACTTGACTTTACTGTTGGAAAACTATGATGGAATCCTCTTGTTAAAGTCATTCATCCAAAATTGTCTTAATTTCAAAATCACAATTAACACTAACTCATGCAAAACGAATTCCCAATGCTTTCACATATACTAATCCTTTGATGGGTCCGATGTATCGAAGATTTTTGATAAGTTTTTTCCTACACAATAGATCGTAAAATTATCACAGTAAATAGAATCCACGATTAATAGTGTTGACTCGAAGGTGAGTGAAATAACACCAAATATGAGTCACACTGAATAATCGGAAAACCATGATTTGATCCAGTTTGCTTATAAATCCTCTTACAATTATGAAATCTCATCCTTTAAATTGACTCGAATCCTGAATCCAATGCTTTTAAAATCCTTTTGCGATAAAATCCTTTTAATTCGCTCAATATCCTATCCTCGCGATCCTTTCCCGATTATTCTCTCATGTTCTCCGCGCAAATTCCCTCCAAAGCAACGCGTCACGAATACATAATCCAGTGTAGAAGCAAGTTCATCAGGTGTAGGTTTCATTCATTGTGTAACAATCCAATCCCATATATACAAAAGAGAAAAATAAGTTAGTTTCAATTTTATTACAACATAAGCTCTGAAGATTAATCAAAATTTAATTGACTTGTTAAATTATGCAACTTTTTTGAACAATAAATCTATAATTTAAACATGATTTGAACTTAGTTTTAGATCTAATTGATTAAAATTATGCTTGAATGACTATTATGGTTTAATAAATAAAAAATTATTTATATAATTGAGTTATTTGAAGTTATATTGGAATTTGAAATGTTTCAGTACAATTAATTTTCAAAGTCTCTTACATTTCATTAATCTTATTTCTAGTCTATTCCATATTTACAAGATAGAAAATGATAGTCTTCTTTGAAATTTATCACAAGCTTATGGGTTATTATTTTTTTCAAAACATTTTCTACCTTGTTGAATAGTTTTTCATGAAACATATCAAATATTTGATACTTAGCATTTCAGTCACGATTCAAATCATGAGTTCAATTTAAGCCAAAGTTCGTTTCCGAATTATTTTAAATTTAGGAGCATAGTCAAGTGTACAAAGTTCTTATATAACATAATTCAAGATTCACATTTTAATTACAAATATTCGCGGAATGTATCTCATGTATGTAATTTTTGAATCATATTTGTAATTAAAAAAATACCATACCATTAAAAAAAAAACATTAAAAATTCATATTAGGGCAAGGTACAGGTGAACCATAAGCTACTATTAGTTTCTATAATACATAATTGAAGTTCGTTGGTGAATATTTGAAGAGCTCCAAACACAAATGCGAATATGCTTTATTAAAATTTTAAGATTAATTGAAATGAATTAGTGAAAGTGTTATAAACTGAATATAGCTTAAAGCACTGTGCTGGGTCGTTCGTACAGAGTGCATTATTTGTGATACGTACACTCTAATCATATGAACGTGATCGTGAGCGGGATCGCGATCGTGAATGGTTTCTTCTTACAGGCGAGTAAGAAGGTGAACCACGACGACGTGGGCTGTAGCTTCGGGAACGGCTACGACCTCTATCTTTGTCTTCGCTGCGACGATCACCACTTCCACCATGGTCTTCTTTGACTCTGATATAAGTCACTTCACCCTATAAAAGTTGTTACCTCAGTACTTGTAGAACAGTTAATTTGTGTGATGATTGATAAAAATGTACCTCATGAGATCTGAATTTAGAGTCATCAAGTTTTTTGACAGCATACTTCATATCATCATAACGTAAAAACTCAACAACTCCAGTTCCATCTTTATAGACATCAGCGAAACAGACATCTCCAGCCTCCCTCATGTGATCTTTCAAATCTTGCCAACTACCGGATGGTGGTAAAGCTGTAACAAGTACTCTATACTGAGATCTTCTGGCAGGTGGACCACGTCCTCTTCCACTATCTCCACCTCTGCCTCGACTGTTGTCACCTCCTCTACCACCACCACCACCTCCTCGGAAACTGCTGCTAGGTCCTCCTCCACGAGGGAATTCTACTCTCAAACGGTATCCATCATAGTCATATCCATCTCTAGCATGAACTGCATCTTCTGCATCTCTAAAAATTATTGACAACCATAAGTTAAATAATAGTGTCAATTTTATGATAATAATTCTTATGGAACACAGTATGCAATAATTAATTTGTAAATATTGCACGCAAGGGTATAAAAGGTACTATCTTTACTCATATATATTTTCATACTCTTGACAAAACTGTTTACTAACAAAAGATTTTGAAAAATATAATGATAGTGCTTGGATTGAAGCGATATAACAATTACACACTGATATTGTTTTCATTTGATTATAAATAAATGAATAGCATGAAAACACATTGTATTATCTTACTTGCTGCCACAATTATCCTTAAGTTTGGAACAATTAAAAGTTAAAGGTAAGCGGTCAACATGAGTAAATATATAATAATAATAATAACTTGAGATATATTTTTAGCCTCTTACTAATAGTTCTCATTGAAGGTACCACGTAGAAATCATAATTACCTCGGGTCGTCAAATTCAACGAATGCAAAAGGAGGTCCGCGTCGGTTTTTCAAATCGACAAAGGCGACTTTTCCAAACTTGTAGAATAGGTCCTGGATATCTTTGGTGCGTATGTCTGGCGGCAAGTTACCAACGTATATTCTGCATTCGTTACGACTGTCGTTGCGGGACATGTTTCCTCTGTGTCTTTCTTGAAGAGATCAGAAGCTTTATAAGAACGCTCCCTTTTGCTTCTCTCGATAGAGTCCGGGCACTTTCGGAGCAAGGTTGGCGTTTAGAGATTTAATACTCACAATGATTCTCACGCAAGTAAACGCGAGAGAATGACCGGAAACTTTCCAAGTTCCAACCGTCGAGGTTCTTTAGGCGAGTTTCGAAACAAGATGGCGTCCGAGTGTGGATTTTTGACGTGCGTGTGTTTGCTTATGTGTGTGTGTGTGTGTGTGTGTGACGAACACAATTCACAAACACCAAATTTTATACGTAGGCAAGAGCTACAATAACAATCACGCCGAAACTAAAGTAAAATATTTTTCTTCTTTTTTCAGCTACCTGCACCACTTACATTTTTTCTATTGCATCGTTCTATAAAATGATCAACATTAAGTTTTCTACAGAATTGGACAGAATTTTTATTGTAATTTTATCATATACGTTCGGCCAATTAGTATGAGGCCTCGGGTTTTTGTTGCCAAAAGGATAAAATATTTACAAAAAAGTAATCAATAAGAAAAAATTTTTATAGTTAAAAATATTTTTGCATTAAACATGTTAATAATTTTAATATCTTCCTAAGGACAATTGCAGTGTGTACTGTGTACATGTGATTCGCATGTGATAATATGTGTGGCTGATAGGGCAATGCCAATGTTGTTCAATACTCGCAAGTATCGATTGTAGTATCTTCTGATACTTTTTGTAGAGACAAGTATTGATCGATGCAATTATAATTTCAATATTGTGCACGTTACATTTCATTAACGACTTGAAGATATTCTATCTCTATGTCCTTACAGGTATATACTTCCTATGCACCGTACGTAAAGACTAAAGAAAACTTAAATAATGTAGTAATCGATTAATCGATATTGAGAAACATCGATATGTTTATATCGTCCCTGTTTACGTTAGCGCTGCCGCCTACCGCAGCACTCTCAAAAACAGCACTCGCACAAGGACGGAATTCTAATTCTTGTAAAGATGTAATTTAAAATATCTATTCTAAATTTTTCTTTTTACAATCATTTGAATAAAAATATGACTACCGACACAATTATATTTTTATTTTAACGAATGGAAAAAATATTTTACAATAGATATTTTATAAATTATATTTTTGCACGAATTTGAATTTTCCGCTCACTGCGGCTGCTGTTTTCGAGTAATTTCGAGCCCGTTTGCCGCAGTGTTGTTCGTATCGCCGGCAACGCCGCCACTTCACTACGGCAACTGTAGGCAGATTCTTTCTCTTATATTCTTCGAGACTACATTACAAGTCTGTTCTTCAGCTAGTTATCGTCGTCGTCGACTTACTCGTCCCACGATTTTTTCTTGAGAATAGTTATTAATTGTTATTTGTGTACCGCTTCCTAACTACCTATTATTTTCGTTATCATAAAAAGTTCATTATCTTCACTATAACTTACATAATTTTTTTAATCATCCTCGCGGATTTTCGGTTTCGTGCGCGTTGAAGTGTGTTGCGAGCCGAAAAAAAAACTTCGTGTCGTTTCGTTCGTTGCTATTTTCATCAAATTCCACGATCAATCACAATCATGAGTGCAGACAGTGCCAGTCAAAGCATTCAAAAGCTTTACAAGCATTTCGGCGTTCTTGCCGACGCCAAGGATAAACTTTCGGAGGTAAGTTTAGTCTCGAAACATCTATTTCCCTTACTATAAATTAGTGCCCGGCACGTGTTTCTCGCTTTTAACAATACTCGACTCGATACTTCATACTTCTTGACTTTCGCCTCACGCGACGCGGCATTGTAACGATGATGGCGGCGGCGCACTTCTCGTGTCTCGCGTGAAATGATCTTTATTAAATGAAAACGTGTTTGAGGCAGTTGTCACCACCGTAAATGAGCCAGCGATTAATTCTGATTGCTCTGGGCGTTTATTGTCAAACTATTAACTCATCATAACATCTGGAATTAAGCATTAGTTTGATCAATTAATTCGGGGAAAAAAAAATTTCAACTCTAATGTTGATCTTGTAGAGGGCGCTGCCTTTGTTTTTCTGGCCTCTGGATTCGGGCATTCCCGCTGGGTTATTGTACTATTTTAAGTGTACCGCCGGAAAGACAAACCTAATCAAAATGATACGATAGATTCTCCGGAAATACGAAAAATATGGATTTCTTTAAATAATAATATAAATAATGAAAATTTAACCTATCGTCCATAAGATTAAAGTTTTTTTGGCCAAACACGAAAATTGATCATAAAAACAATTTACCAATAACATAATTTCAACTATAACGAATTAAATATTTTATGAACAATAATTTATAATTCAAATTTTTACAGCATGAGGCAGAGTATTTGGAAATATTGAAAGCTGTTAAAGGTTGCCCTAAGGAAAAGCGATTAGCATCTCAATTCATTGCACGTTTCTTTAAGAACTTCCCAAAGTTAGCTGATAAAGCAATTGATGCTCATTTAGATTTGTGCGAAGATGAAGACATTTCTGTAAGTATTTTCATCAAGATATATCACATTTTACAGATATGTTTTGATAATATTCTGTCATTAATTTATATCTTATATCTTATAGATTCGTAAGCAAGCTATCAAGGATTTACCTGCCCTGTGTAAAGATAGTAAAGAACATACAGCAAGGATTGCTGATATATTGGCTCAGCTCTTACTTGCTCCAGATCCATCAGAATTAGATGTCGTGCAAAACAGCATTATGACTTTGATTAAGAATGACCCTAAAGGTAATAATAGATCATTTTAATTGAATACATCTTTTAATTAACTTATTTTAACCAACTGTTTTTTTATTTTATTTTTCTAGGAGCTATAAATGGATTTTTCATTCAAATCTTGAATGCAGAAGATGGTATCAGAGAAAGAGTGATAAAGTATTTATCTTCAAAGTTGAAAACTTTAGGTCGCGAAATTATAAACAAAGAAGTAGAAGAAGTCATAATTTCAGAGTGTAAGAAAGTGTTGCAAGATGTAACTGCTGATGAATTTCATAACATTATGGAATTATTAGCATGGACAAGACTTGGATCAACAGTTTCTGGTCAACAGGAATTGGTGGATATTGCAGTTGAACAAGCAGAGTTAAACATGCCTTATACCAATAATTTTGAACAATTCAGTAGACTAATACAATGTATTCAACATGCTCTTCCATACTTTAGTGTAAGTATCAAAATATTTTGTACTAACAAAATACAATATTAAAATTTATTTTTTTCATTTTTAACCATGAAATGTTATAAAACTCATGAAAACAATTTTTAAATTACAGTCACAAGTAGATTCTCAACGATTTGTCTCATATGTTTGCATGGAAGTTTTGCCACATTTATCATCAATTGCAGATCCCAGTGGTAAAGATGTTCAATTAGAACTTCTCAAATTACTTGCAGAATTATCAGAGCATTGTGGAAAATTAGAGAAACCAGAAGAAAAAGTTGAGCAACTGTATAAAACCTTGGTTGTAAGTATCAAAGATTATAATAAATTGAATTTTCTACCTACTAAATAATATTGGTACTAACAAATGTTTTATATTGCAGAATTACATGCCTCTCCCACCAGATTCGGATATTACTGAAGTACCAAAACTTCAATTCAGCCACGTTGAGTGTTTAATGTATGCTTTTCACAAAATTTGCAAGCAAGCACCAGAATTTTTGATTAAGGATCCAGAACAATTAAAAGAGTTTAGGCTGCGATTACAGTATTTTGCTCGGGGTATTCAAGGTTATATCAAAAAATTGCGAGAAGCAATTCATGGAAAAAGTGAAGAAGACCTGAAATCCAAGGAAAATCAAATTAAAGTCATAGCTTTGAAAACAACAAGTAATATTAACACACTTATTAAGGATTTGTTCCATTCGCCACCCAGTTTTAAGAGTGTGATTCATCCCTCATGGAAGACAATTATTGTACAAGAGAAAAAAATAGACAAAGTGACCACAGGAACCAAGAGACATACACCAATTACATTTGGTAATGGAAACAGCAAAGATAATCACGATAATACAAACAATTCTATAAAAAGAATTAAATTAGATAATCAAAGAAACAAACAATTGTATACACCACCAAGTGGTAAATACAGCTCTAATATCTCACAAAACTATGGTAATCGAGGTGGAAGATTCCAAAATCAAAACAGATTTCAGAACAACAAAATGAATGGTGGACGAGGTGGATTTAGACCAAACAGAGGTCGCGGCGCCTGGAGAAAGAACAATTCATATTAGTCTAATTCACAAATTTCGCATATTAAGAAATTAGTTTTTTTATTTTAATTATAAATGACCAGGTAGGGCCGAATCGTAACAAAACAAAAAACAACGCTACATTCAACTTTAATGATAAAACTTTTTTACTGATAGTTAATACTAAGAGTTTCTTAAACTTAGTAAAAACTCAAAATGCAAAAGTTTTCTTAATACGTAATATTCATTGAAATATTTCTTTGTAAAAAAGGATCTTGAAGAAATTTATTACCAATTTAAAAAGGGAAGCAATGAATTGGAAGAATGCTCAATCGACTTTTCCATTTTATTTGGGGCAATTCCTGTCAAAAAATACTGTATTTTAAAACGGAATGTATAAAGATTAGTACGTGAAATCGGAAAAAAATTTATAAAAGCTTACAGTAATGCAAATGAGAGGATTTTTTCACAAACAAATGTTTATGATAATGCGATTAAAAAATTGCTAATTTGTATTAGCCACTTGAAAATACGGCCAATTGAAGGAGCGACACAAAAATCTAATTAGTGTGAGATAACAGCGAAGTAATCATTATTAGAAAGAAACTTATGTAATTGTTCCGAAAGCTTTTTCCTCTTCCTAGTACCAAAAATATCCTGATCTTCCTAATTTTTCTGTCAATCCACATTAGAATTATCACTTTCATTAATTTATATTTGTCTACAGGAATATGAAGATGCTGAAAGGAATGTTCAATTAGTCACAATTGCTGGCGGTATATTAATATTTTTTTGTAATCAAAAAACTGGTGTATAAATTAGATTGCTTTGTATTGCCAATTTTTAATTTTTTAGATATTTGTATTTATTGAAGATTTTTAAACTACTTGACCATTAAATTCAACAATCATTTTTTTGATTACAAATTAACAATGCATTTATTTCGTTGCAGCTTGCAGGGAACATTTGAGAAAATACAATTAACATATTTGAATAAAATTAACTCTTTATTTTCAGCTTTAAAAGAAAATTCTGTTGAGAATTTTAAATTTTCAGATCATTAAACAGGAAGCGATTATGAATAGGTATGCCCCATTAGTCATTATCAATTTACAGGTGAGTTTTAAGCTTTTCTCTCCTGAAATTCCTTCCTTTCCCTAAATTTATCTACATAAGTATATTACATAGAGCTTTCGTGAATATTGTATTTATATAAGTCTGTAGATACACTTCAAATTAAATAAAAGTATTTCTTACTTTAAATGAAAACAATAATTTTTTTATTTCCTTACATAATAAACTTAGCATATAGTTAGCATACTATATAATACTTATTAAGTTATAATTACAATAAAATGTAACATTAAATGATTTTAATATACCCCACTTGATAATAACATATCATCTATCTCTTTGCACATTATTCTATCACTTGGACTGCAGGGATCAACAGTTCTTCTATCTGTATTTTCATCGTTGTCCACTTCCATTGCCTCAGTATTCACCATCAATTTAGAATCTGATTCAGATGGATCTGGTAAAGATTGCAGTGCATTTTGAACAATTTCTTGAACCTTTTGTGAAAAAAATTAAATAAGTTTGATACACAATTTTTAATTGTAAAAAAAATTAAATAATATTTTTTAGAGATACAGATTTTAAATAACAATATGATAATTAAAAATTTTAACTACTAACCTTTTCCAAGTGTTTTTGAAACCTAATAGATGTCTCTACTCTTTGACGTTTTTGCATTTCCATCATTACCCTAAGAGTTTCCCGAGCTTGATGTGGCCTGAACTCATTCAAAAGATGATGAATATGAATAAACAATAAACTTAAATCTTCCACCTGTAATGATTAAATAATGAATATAATAAATCGTACACTTCAATTCATGTAAATGTAGAAAAAACAATTACCTTTTCTGCTCTCTTAGAACTTTCTGGACATAACATCAAAATATCAATTAAATCTAAGAAATTAACTAATAAGGAATGATTTAGCTTTTTAAGCTCTCTTCTTCTGTCAAAATGTTGTGGATATAATCTTTTAATACCCTGAGCTTCTAATGGCCTAATGATAGGGTCTTCAGCATTAAAAATATTTCCAAACATGGTATAATTATCATGAACTGGAAGGGGTGGCCTTGGTGCTCTGTTTCTTCGAACATTTTCATCTGTATAAAGATTTATATAATGAACTGGTGGAAGAGGCAACGAGCTCACATGAACAGTATCTGAAGAAGCCATTTCTTGTGCTGCTCTATCTGTTAATGATCACAAAAAATAAACAATTTATTAAAGGATGAAATGAAAATTTCACTGCACAAAGTATCATATATGATTCAATTTGAGTTTGAGGTTAAAAATAACTTACAACACCGATTTACTATCACTTTTAATATTCTACGCAGAAATACGTAAAAATGATGTAAGCAGAATAAACCGGGAGAAAGTAACAGTACTAAATATCAAACTGTGTTAAAATTCACTGAGTGAATAATGAAAACGTATCAATTTAATTGAGGCAATGAACAGATGACAGAAGATATGTACACTTGTATGGTGTAAGGGGAATATCGTGCAGACTGCAGCGTGCTAGGACGTCTCCAGAATCGACCCATAGGCCATAACAGCTATACGCGGCTGCCGCATGCGCTTGTTAAGTCTGAATATACCATGACATGTCTATCAGCGCCCCTGTCAACGGTTTCAAAACAATTTAAAAAGATGCATTGCAAAGTAGAAACTCTGTAGAACCTGTTTTGATGCTTTATAAACGATAAAGTGTACAAAACCAAACAGATCTTAATAAAAACAAAACTATAATGTCGCAACCTTGATAACGAGATTTTTCGATTAGTTAACTGCAACCAGAAAATATATCGACTAAATGAAGATGGCAAGTATTTAATTCTAAAAAAATGTTACTCATTATATATGGGAACTTCGGGGTAATATGAATAGAGTGAATTTTCATGAATCAAATTATTACGTTTAATTAATTTATTTTTAAAAATCAATTCAAGAAAATATTTGGAAAATTTATCAAGTAAAATAAGTACCATAATTTTAGTTTGTTTTATTTTTTTATTTCTCAAGCTTATAATCATATATTTTGTATTTACAATATGTACAAAGCATTATCTTTGAGATGGTAGCATTTGCGTTTAATTATATATCTTATATAAAAAACAATGTGTAAAGTAGAACTTAAATGGCTCTTCTACTCATATTTGAAAATCCTATTCCGCTGCAAGTCATATGTACTTGCTGCAATTGATTGCCTTCATCATCAGTGACATTCGCTAGTCTAAAAGTTACTCCAGTGAAGACTTTCAAGTCTCTCAAAAATTGGATCCTGTAAATAAAATTTATTTTTAGCATTTTTGCTTGCATTTTTTTCTGAAAAAATAAAAGGACACTTACATTGCTGGAGTAAAGGGTCCTACTACTACTTTGGATACATCACGCCCGCTAAAAGCCATGAAAAGAGCAGTCATAGATTGGAAAGGACTATCCACAGTGCCATTCCTAAAAATCATATTGTATAACAAAAATTAACAATGACCAATTATAAAAATATTGACTAACAGTTGATCGTTAAAATATATTACCTATAAATTTCATCAAACAATTTATTAGCTGCTTCTTTGCCTATATCTTCGGGAAAACATGGATCAGCATTAGGATCCCTTATTGGTGAAACAGCCTCGCCAGAATAAAATATGCCATTAATTGTTTCTGCTGTGAGAGTTATGCCAAAACCTAGATAAGATTTTATTTATTATTATATAATAGATTGAAAGCCATGTAATTGATGGAATGAATTAAAATAATAATTACCTGGAGATTTTCCTCCGGATTTTCCTTTTTTTTCATCTATATTTATGTAAACATCTGGAATAAACTTTAACAATGATCCTTTTGCTGTTTCAATCATACGGTGAGGAATACCTGGAGAAACTCTAACACCATAAGCTATACCTCTGATTCTTTTAACTAACCCACTGTCTTTTAACTAAAAAAAAATTATACATTAGTTTTAAGTACTGGCTTTTGGATTTCGTAAACTATCAGCAATACTTACTTGAATAGTTTTTAAAGATTTCACCGTTGAACACTTGAAGAAAACCTCACCTCCTCCATTTGGTGCTGCACCTCTTTTATTAATAGTTAAAATTACTTCATAGTCACCAGTCATAAATCGCTTTAATACAGGTATTCCAGAATCTTTTATTCTATCAACACTTGGATCTAAAAATTTTGAAATGTTTTTCATTCATGCAATTGTCAACACAATAAAAATCACAGTTAAAATGAACTGTACAATATACGCACCAATTTCATTACTTGTAACTCCTCCCAAAGTTAACTCCAAAGGTGTTTTACAAAAAGGTGCTAATTCCATAGCAGCCTCTAAAATATATCCTATGCCTCTGTCAAGGCAACATTCGTGCTTCACTATTCCTCCGATCAAAATACCTGGCTGGTATAACACTGATGTACCAGTTTCACTGGGGACGATCCTCGCGCCGTTCGTCATCTTGTCGACGAATCGCAAAAAATTAATTTCAAATTCTGCAAAGAAAATCATTTATAAATACCCGAATAATCGTATTGACAAATTATTCAAAATTAAAATCTAACCTCGAAGTCCTGGATCATCGTCGGTGGGCCGAATGTCAGAAATTCTAACCGTTTTACCGGTTAAAGTTGCCAATATTATACGATATCTGAAGGACCGATGTCCTTTGAATTCTAATACATTTGCCATTTTACTTCAAACGATTAATCAACAACAAACACACGTGGTAAACGACTTCTGCTTTTATACGTAACGTAACGTGCTGTTACCGGCTTAAGGAGGCTGTAGCGATGCAAGGTGGTTCTGTATTAAAGCGCTACAAGCGCTAGGCTATGTGCGTTACGCAGCGCCCAGTGTTAGCATGGCAGAACATAGGGAAAATGTGTTGGACTCTTAGTATCTTTTTTATTTGCCTGCGGAAACACCCATTTATAATTATATCATTCGAAAGCTAATGAAATTTCCTATAACATATGTTAATTTCATTAACTTGTAAAGAGATTTGAGCTCACAGTACACTAACAACTGCCACTTCCCATTTGATTCAATGTTAAATGGCCAAAACTTCGAATTTCATTATTTCCCAAATTTGCACGGAAACCCCCAATTTTTTTTACCAAAAATCTTGTAATTTCATGAACTATCAGTGGTTAAAATTTCACTCCGGTCTAAAGATTTTTTCAATATCGCTACAGCCTCAGGCTCTACGGGTTACTTCTTCATGTCACATGTGACTCTCCGACTGGAAATACAACGCCGGCGCAGTTATGGGCTGAGCTAGCCACCTGATTTGATCATGTGCCGCCGACGCGGTTCAATACAAACACGGATATTTAATAAAGCAATGAGAATCATGACAATAGTAACAAAATCGGTAAGTATTGATTGAAATTATTTTTAATTTGTGTGGGTGAGTTGATAATTTTAATTTTAATCATTAAACTTGGAAAAATGTCTACTTTAATTGCTTGGGGATGCTAATGTTACGTTTGGAAAAATGTTTTCTTTTACCACAGCTAGAAGATTTATATTTTTAGGGTTACAACTTAAACAAAGTTGTTACTCCCTTTAGAAAGATTAATGAATTTAGATGGTTCAACAATTTTTTTTATTTTTTAAAAGAATTTATTTACATCGCAGAGAATCCATTTAAATTCTAATTGCAAAGAAACTGTAAAAATTAAGTCTTTAAACTAAGAAAAAAAAATTGTTCAATACTCCATGCGTAATATATGGTTTTTCTAACTTTTTAGTTACATAAAATCAGGTTTTATGCACGAACTGTAAAAAAATATCGTATGCAACTAGTGTGTGAGGAGTATGACTCATCTAAGAGTCCTTTCGTCCTCGCTGTGCTCGGATGAAAACAACTCCTGGATGAATCATCTTCTTCGCGCACTTGTTGCATAATAGGTGTACTATTTTAACGGTATTGCAATGTATAACTCCACCGTTTCAAATTTTTTGCTGCCTAAATAGACTAGTAAATAAAACATACTTTCATACTTTCATACTCAAAATGACATAATTTATCCATGATGAGCTTTAGGCTTAATTAACTAAGAAGTATGAAACATTTGCTTTTTATTCAGTGTCCGGAAACTAATATGTTTACTCTATCCATATAAGGCACAGAAAATTTGATACAAGTTCGGTAGTTCGCATCAAGACTGCAAAAAATAAGTATACAATGGTACGTACGATGAAACATAGTAATAATTAAAATGTATGTTTGGCGTCGCTAGCAAAGTATACAAAAAAATAAATAGAAATAATTACATTTAACAAAGAGAATAGTTCGAAAAATCAATGAAATAACCAATAAATGTACAATGTGCATAAATAGTACATTTTTCAAATGGTGCAGTTGTGTTTTTTAGTAAAATGAGGGATTATAATAATCCTGTAACTAGTTTCATTCAGTAATTAATAATTTGCTTACCCGTGTCGATAGTTCTCGGACCCGGATAATTATCCGAGACTTTTTGCGACTTTGCTGGTCTAAGTGCTTCGTCAGGTATTTTATGCTCTGGAGCTGCTTTTGGAATAGATTCTCCTTCGTTGACCTGGTCGATGGACCGCTTATTCTTCGGCTCAGATAATTCATGCTCTGGAGCCGCTTCTGGAACAGATGCTCCTTCTTCGACCTGGTCGATGTCTTGCTTATTCTCCGGTTCTGGAGCTGTTTCTGGAACAGATGTTCCTTCTTCGACCTGGTCGATAGCTTGCTTATTCTCGGGCTCAGACTTTCGCGATGATTGTTCATCATCGCTCGATTCGTCACTAAAGCTAGATTTCGGGAGAGGCCGACCTGTAATCGTGAAAATTTGTTCCGTTTATAAATATTTATTACTCAAATGCATCGTTAATAATTTTACAGCAAATTAAAATCAATGCAACACCCTATGTCCAAAGGGTATGAGTTTTACAACCAAAGTTCAGATAAAATTAAAAACCATTTTAAATCGAATCTTAAGTTTAAAAATCAAAGATAAAAATATGCGCATCAGAATCGATATTCAGTTGGCCTTTACTTTTTGTCAAAATAATTGGGCAGTTATTGGATTAGGAAATTCCCAAACGAATTAACGCATGACTATATCGCGCTTTCGATCTCTCGATCGTTTCGAGGTAATATTTTTCGTTAGTCGAAAAATGCCAGTCGATTTTCGAAGTGAATAATCATGCATTGCCGAACTTTTTTCTTCGTCTCTCCTTCTACCTTTCTCTCTTTCTGTTTTTCTTTTAATTTCGACCTCCCACACGCCGCGGTTGCCAAGATTCTTTATTGAGAGATTTAATTTTTTTTTTTGCACGCTCATGCACGCGTATGACAGACCAGTCAATAGGTCATTATTCTAATCAATCGGCAAATGTATTCCTTTTTACCGCGCCGAATTAACTGTTATTCTCCTCTTCCAATTTTGTTAAATACGATTTCGACATTTCGCATCGATCGATCTCATCGATTCGGGCAGTTTTGATGATAAAAAAAAAATCTTTTTTTTTCATTTCGACGAATCCGCCGAGGAGAATCGAGGATTTATGACAGTCGCGCGTAGGAGTTTTCTTTTCGGTCAGCATTAAAAAGTAAAAAGTAAAAATGAAAAAATAAAAAAGAAAGAGGAAGAAACCAGCCGATATATGGCATGCGTTGCTCCGGCAGATGAGTCATTTCTAACGAATCGTCGTCCGAAAGGCGCGCGCGAACGAGCTCGAGCTGCGAGCGAGCGAGTAGCAAGAGAAGCGCGCGATAAGAAAAAGAGACAGGCAAAAGCTCGGCTCGTTTCCTGCTCTTTATGTCATTATATATACGTCTTGGTACGTACGCGTGTGTGCAGCGATGGCACATTATAATAGTTGAATATGTAAAAGGTTCTCTCTCTCTCTCTCTCTCACTCGTAGCTTATAAATATAATAGCTCTTTTTGCATTCAGACAACGGCGTGTATTAAGGTGAAACCTCATCGACGCCTACGCGTGCAACATACACGTACACACATGTACGCATGCACGCAAATTTCGAGCTCGTCTGGATAATTCGGCTGAAAATTCATTATCGTCATTATCATCATCATCATTTTCGTCGTCATCATAATCTTGCGAGTGAATCTCTTCGATGACGATTATCATCTCCGAAGTGCGAGCGAGAGAGAGAGAGAGAGAGAGAGAGCGATTAGTCCTCGTCTACGTATAGAGGCTTATATAATGCAGGTATTATAATACGCATCGATAATCACGCGGATGCGGCGTAGAGTGAATTATACGAACGAGCAAACCCAGAGATAGATGTATAAGAAGAGGGAAAGAGAGACTCGAGAAAGGTGAGGTCGAGAGCTGGAGCGCGCGTTAACTCTCGAGACGCACACGCGCGCATCTTTCAGGCGAGCCTCACTTATATGGACTATATGAGATGTATAGAAAGAGAGAGCACAAAATCATGGAAAGACCGGCTCTCTTTCTCCGCTATACATCCTATAGATACATAGACAAGTTCGAGTCTCTTCGCAATGTATATATTCGGAGCGGCTGCGTATGTGTAAGTAACGCAGCACACGCACATATACTCATGCAAGCATCTACTTGAAAACCTCCTCATGCTGGATTGCTTATACACAAGTTAAATCGCGCAACGCCGCCGCCGCCGTTGCCGCCACCACCACCACCACCACCACCACACCACCACCGTGACAGACACACGCACGCACATGTGTATGTATATACGGCGCGACGACTTGGAGAACTCGTGCTGCTGCTGCTGCACAGGCCCGCGAAAGAACGACGACGACGTCGAAGTATATAGGAGAAGAAGAGAGAAAAGGCAAGAGGAGAGAAAGAGAGAGAAAACAGAATACACGTATATATGTATATATTCGCAGCGTATGTATGTATGTACGTATATAGAATCGAGGGGCCCGCAGTTGTGTATATGTATATATCCTTTCTCTCGGGCAGCAACAGCAGCAGCCATCCAGCCAGCCACAGAACAGCCCAACAAACCAGCGGCGGCGGTGGCGGCGACGGCGGCAGTGCGTGCGCGAGAGTATTATTAAGTGTATATATCGCTACAAATATACAGATTTATATACAACGGACAGAGCGAGAGACAGAGAGAGAGAAAGAAAAAGAGAGAGAGAGACGGTGGAGGAACAGCCGCGTCGGGTGTGCGTGTGCGCTATATGCAGTCAATCGCGTGCTTGCACTCAATCCGCTCGTTATAATACATGTACACACAACGCACAAGGGACATAACATATATATATAACAAAAGTCCGCCGTTGTAACGTTTCGAACGTCGTCGTCGCCGTAGCGCAGTTTTGAAAATTCGAACCTCACGGGTCTTCGGAGTTCGATACCGATCGCCGTTGGTCGCGTTGTTGCGCGCGTACGGCGCCGCTTTCCCGAGAATATCATCGTCGCACGCACATAGTTTCGCGGATTGGCAGCATGTGTTGTTCGCGGCTGCTGCGCCGCGCTCATGCCGCTCGCTCAAACTCGCTGTCGTCGTCGTACACATCCAAAAACGTTAAGTAGTACATTGGACTCGCGTATAGAGCAGTGGCCCGCAGAGTTCCGAGACATGGAGGTAGCCCACAGCTGACACTTGCGCGCGTCAGGAAAGAGAAACGACGGCAGTAGCAGCAGCAGCAGCAGTTCGAGTGAAAGAGAGAAAAAGATCGCCGTTGTCGTCACAAAAGAAAGAAGAGACCCGTCTCGCGAAGAGTGCGTTATACATATATCTATATAGCTATATCTATACCATACATACGTCTCTCCGTGGCGCGGAGCAGTGCCCGTGTGGCCGCAGTGTGTTTATGTGCTCGTGCTTCTGTGTGCGTTCGTGCATGTGAGTGCAGTGTGTCTGTGTTTCTATGTGAGTGTGCGTGTGTGTTCGCGCGTGTGTTTCCAATGTGCATTTAATTCACACACACACGCACGCGTATATGTATATAGTGCAGTGTCCTCTGTGTCCGCGAGTGATGTTGCATTTATAAATACTGCCTGCCTGCCTGCCTGCCTGCGTTCGATATGTATATGGTTTTCAACTGCCGCGCGATAGCAGATAGCGATACGATACAGGCAATATTATATATATAGGGAGAAAAAAACGTAGCAGCGTACGCAGGCGAACGAAAGCGAGCAAGAGCGAGAGAGTAATAAAAAAAAAAAAAGAAAACAGAAAACACACGCAGCGCAACGCACGAGTATCAGCGAGAGATCGAGCGAGAAGCAGCAGCAGCAGCAGCAGCAGAGAATCGCCGATGTTGCTCTTTTCCGATTTAATCCGGCCGATGATTATGGAGTGCTGAACCGGCTTCAGATATATAGCTGGCAGTCTATACTATACGTATATATAACTGACGGCTTTCGACAACGACGACGACCACGACATCGACATCAGCAGAAGTGCAGCAGCGCGAACACGCACACGAGGCACAGAGGAAAATCTGCACCGCGAGTCGGCGACGCTTGTTATCGTGTTTTTCTTTGCATGGTGAGCATCTATCTATAATACATCTCTTCTTTTTCTCCTTCCTTCTTTCCCGTTGAACTGCGGCACACGCGCATTATTATCATAATACGCGCATCATTTTCCTTTTAATAGATTCATGCTCTTTTCTTGAATTTATTCTGCTTCGAGTCGCGAGTAGTAAGTAGCCTGCCTGCAGAAATAATGCACGTAGCACATGTGATGCAGAGATGTAAGTAAGCTATAGGCGAAAATCGCGCGCGCACGTTCGCATGTTTGTTTATGCCTCCGTTATCGCGCCGTATAGCTCGATGTAGCGCCTTCATAAGTATACCAATGCACACACAATATAATACGAGTGGGATTCTTTTTGATCGTGTCCATTGCAGCGATAAGAAGAATGTGCCACTGCACATAGCGCTTATTATTCGCAATATGTATGTACGACGATGATATGTAATAGCGCCGATGAAAAGTACATGTGCGAGAAGTGCAGCCGATCGACGAGTCGCCACCGCCGCCGCCGCCAATGTAATGATTGTCGCGCCGATTGTCTCCTTCGTCACTGTATTTAATAATGTTTATAATGTGTATACGCGTACGCACGCGCTGGGGTCATATAATAGAAAACTACACTTACGGACTTGTCGTTATTATACGAGCCGATCGTAATTGAGCGTGTAATAAAATCATGGTCTCTCTCTCAGCTCTCGCTGCTGATGCTATTGCTTGTTGCTGCTGCTGCTGACCCATGCCAAGCAACGCACACATACTGCTGCTGCTTTGCAACGCGTGTTGTATATAACACACCTCGTAAAACTGGTTTGCTTTTAGTCTCTTGGTTGAAGAGAGAGAGAGAGAAAGAGTGAACGAGAGCGAGAGAGAGAAAAAAATCTGCCAAAGTATTTTCGATTGCACACTCTATTACTCGCGCTCCGCCATCGCCTATTAGGTAGTACTACACTGTGTACACACACATCTATCTATAAAATGCGATATGCTCTCTGCAGCATTGTATATGTGTACACTTGTACACATATTTTGCAGGCCACGCAGCGGCATATGTATACTTTAATGCACAAAGAGAGCAGTTGAACAAACAAATAATATAAGCATAGAACATAACACGAAGCCTATATATACGCTCGCACATATGCGCTTGATAAAGTTAGGGAAAAAAGAAACGGACTTTCCGCGACAGCAGCTTCCCCTATATATTATGTATATATAGAGAAAACGAGCAAGAGAGCTAGAGAGAGATAGAGACAGACACAATGCATCATCGCGCGCGCGGCGCCGTGATACGTCGTTTTCATTGTTCGAATTTGTGTGTTAAACAGACTATTATAATAATGCGGGAATTTATATCGAGAGAAGAAGCGTGAAATATGAATTTTCTTCTTCCTTTTTTTCCCCTCCTCGCTCTTTTGACCTATCTTATAATACTTGTGTGTATTTGTGTGTAATTTGTATTATACTCGATCAGCTTATGTTTTATACACACATGTGGTCAATACACTTCATCATAATACACATCCGTGGAATATTTTACTTATCATCATCCAGAGTCGTTGCCTTCTTTTTTGTCTTCTATCTGTATATTACGAGCACACGTATATCTCGTTGTATAATATTCCTCCAGGGTCCCGTTTGCTCTTTCTCGCGCGCTTACTCCGCGCAACACGCTTTGACACGATCGTGGTAATATATACAGAAGGAGGCTTTAACAGTTGAGATATCGGCTCGCTTCCAGCGAAAGTTCCCTAAATTAGTGTTTACGTGTGACACAACGGCACAAGATATTATATTTTTTTATTCACACTCATACATGTGCAAGTATCGCGCGATATATATATTACCACGTAAAAACCTTAGCTTTATCTTGCGTAAGTGCGCGCGCGAACGCGTATATAATGTAAGCTCCAGCCTCACCAATTTGTATACATATGCAGCGTAAACGCAGATTAAGAAAGATATCTACGGCATAACGTTTAATTCGAGTCTCGAGCAATCTCTCTCTCCAGGCAAACATTCCAAAAAAAACTATATTTTTTAAGCTCGAGCCTGCGAAATCTCCTCGTAGTCTGTGTTTACTCAGGCCTTGCGGTTGAATCAAATTTTTCCTCTCTTGGCAACCTTTTTTAATTTTTATTACTTCAGCTCGTGGCTCGTGTGCTCTCTCTCTTTCTCTCTTCTTCTATAAATACATCGTCTTGAACTTTGAATGTACATAATTTATTATCCGCAAAAAAAAAAATAAAAAAAAACGTCGCACACCGTGGCTCGGCATTTTCGATTAGTACTGACTCTCTGCTATGTGTGTGACAGGACTTTTAAAGCAGTCGAACGTCTCTTGGGACAGATGATATATAAATACGCATTAATATCCTCGCTAATTTTTTCCAAACAATTTCGCATTATAAGCTCGCGCTTATAATTGCGTGCGAGCCGTGGAGAGTGAAAAACGTATACAAATTAAAACATAATAAATAATTTATTCGCGCGCAATAATCGGCGTACTGGCGAGAGAAAGAGAGAGAGAGAGAGAGAGAGAGAGAGAAACAATACTCACCATGGCTTATATATTGGACGAGAAAAAGCATACAAAGCACATATACACGCCGGCGCAATCGCTCGGGCGCGAACAAATGCTCATTAATATTTCATTTATTATAACAAGATCCGTACGTACGATTATTTTTTACGCTCCTATACGTCCATACACACGTACATACGTACATAGCATACAAGCGCTCACGCCCCTGTGATCTTTTCATTTAGGAGCAAAATATTATATTATGTATCAATATAATGTGCGCGCGGCGGCAGCAAAATCCGAAATTGATCGCGCTCAACGACACGCCTGACCCAAATCAATTATCGAAGAGCAGACGAGGAGTATAAAAATCTTATATATTATACGTATATGAAATACAGCGCGAGATCCGACGCGATAATGCTTGGCCTGTATCCTCGCTAGTGTCGCCTTCAAGTTGGTAAATCAGCATAATACACTTGAAATACAGATAAATTCGACTGTTAATCGCGTGCGCGTCGAAGCTCGTAACGTCGCACTATATATATACCTATACTCGAGGCTCTCGGCAGTAGCCGCAGCCAATAACATAATCGTATTATTCAATTTCAATTTAATAAACTGTTTTATTTAGTGTGAGCTACAAGCTCGCAGCCACAGCAGCAACAGCAGCAGGTTAAAATATGCTGCATCGTGAAAGCAGCTTTGCAGCAGGTATATAACATAGAGGCATTTATACATATGAAAACGTGGGCGTGAGAAAGAAATTTAAAGTCTCTCTCTCTCTCTCCGTCTGTGCTTTGGGTCGTTCGCGTGTGTATTATACTACGCGGTGTATATAAGCTGCTGCACTGTGTCGGTGTGTATGTGCGTTTGTGTGTGTGTGCAGCAGTGGCAGTGTCGCGTCGCCGTCCGCGCGCGCGTAAATTTTCAAGGCCATCACTGATTGTTCCTGCCCCTCTTCTCTTCTCTCTCTCTCTCTTTTTCTCTGTTGCAGTCGTGTGTTCCGTCTTTCTCTCATATATATCTATACGTGCGCACACGCTCTTTGCATAATAATGCAACCTGCACCCTGAGCTCTTAAACGCTATATACTATATGCTCTCATGAGTATATGTGTTTGTCTGTGTGCGTCTGTACGTCTGTGTGCACCGTCGCTTTTCCACTACTGTCGCTGCTTCTCTCTGCGGTGCATACAACGCGACCAATTGTTTGTTTTTCCCGAGCCCTGCCACTGCCACTGCTATTGCTATTGCTGCTGCTACTTCTACGTATTATGTACATTTGAAGCAGCTTTTCCCTCGGCAGCTGCTGCTGTAGCGATCCTCGACGAGCATTCGTGCGCTTCTGCGTTATATTATAGGCTGTCAAGCCCCGTATATACCACCACCGGCGATATGATAAGCTTTTTCCGGCTTTCGATCTCGTTCTTCATATTTATATATAAACGCAGCTACTGTATACCATTCGATCTTTATCTGTCAAATGTAAATGCCGTTCGTGTACGCTGGCACATCGCGGCTGAATTTCCTCCTTTTTCTTTCTTCGTTTCTATACATATGCGTGTGTGGTATACAAGCGCCAAGTACATTTACATCGGTAAATATACAAGGGCAAAAGTTTGAAGTTCCGAGTCGCAAGTCAGATATGTACAGAAAGATTGAAAGATAGAGAGGAAGTTTATTCATTCTAATAATTAGCGCTACCATGAACCTGAAGTTTTCTTCGTTGAACTTCGACGAAAAGTTCCAAAAAATTGTTTTTTTATTTAAATTTTATAATCGTAATCTACTGTCATATTTGTTTACAATTAAACCTCCAAACTAAATATGATAGTAGATCACGATTATAAAATTTAAATGAAAAAACAATTCTTCGGAACTTTTCGTCGAAGTTTGACGAAGGAAACTTCAGATTCATGCGCTACCAGGGTGGTATGGTGTGCAAGTAAACGCGATGCCGCAGTTAAAACAGCAGCAGCAGCAGCGGTAACAACAATAACAACACACGAAACTGCCAAGTAAAGAGATCGCTGCAAGAAAGGATTTCTTACAATTAATTCCAAGGACAATTTAAACGGTATATAATAATAAATGCGCAGTCGTTTGTATATATATTATTTGCCTCTTAATTGTCGAGCAATTCGATACGTCTCTCGCTCGGTACAGAGAGCCCCGTGTAAACGTAACGTCCGAAGTATTACTACGAACGTCGTTTGCATAGAAGAGAGACGCGGCTTCATTACAAAAGCGATAGAGCAGCAACAGCAGCAGCAGCATTACAGCTCGAGCTCGCGCTGCGTTTATATTATATTATGCGCATCATACTGTACCGTTAATCCGTGTAACGTTTCTCATTAACGTTCGGGATATAAATGCCGAAGCTCGAGGTTCGACGCGAGACGTCTCATAGACACATGTACTTGTAACCGGCCGAAGTGCGTATTATGATGGGAAAGTATCGGTCGCTTCATCATTGACGACTTATAGAAAGAGATTGAAGCGAGCTACTCCCCCATATAACCGCGATAAATGGCTCGTCTCCCGCTTTTACGTATTATACGTATCACACACACCCACGTAGAGAGCGGAGAGCTCGGAATTATGTGTAGTCGAGAGTAGAAATGGAATTTTTTTTCCTTCATTTTTCCATCGTTATCCGCAGTAGCAGCAGCAGCAGGCTGGCTGATGACGACACGACTACGACACTGCATCCTTTTAATTTGTGTAATTAAATTTTACCGACTCTCGTACCTTACCATTTATACCGAATCGGCCGGCCCCCGTTGTCCGCTGCACCACTGCGCGCTCCACATGGCTGTATTCGCACATCGTACATCCTCGTTAAAACTTGCAAAATATAACTTATACATGTACAGTAGTTATCTCGCTGGGCGACCGCAAACGAAAATACACATTTACCAATTTATCGTTGTAAAAGTTCGCTGCGCGACTCTTCCCAGCTGCACCGACCTTTTTTATTTACTTTATTTATTTATTTATCTATCTATATTTTTGTCACTTTAAATTTCGCAGCAGGTCGTACGCGGCAGCAACAAAATTGACAGAGCAGCAGCAGCAGCAGCAGCAGCAGCCGGGGCGAGATGGCAGGGAAGGACGGTAAGCTCGAGCCCCAGGAGAACGACATCATACTGCAGGGCTTCATGGTGAAGCGCTCGCAGAACAAGAAGCGATTCACGCCGGTCAATTACAAGCAGCGCTGGTTCGTGCTCACCCGTCAGCATCTCGTCTACTACGATGGCTGCAGCAACGAGGTAAATATAGTTATATTATATATAGATAAAACGAAAACCCGTGCGCAACACTACACGCGTATTTACAAATTTACACAACTCGCGCGTTCCCGAATAAGCCGCACGGCAATATATCTCATCTCTGCTTTTTTGCCTCGTATAAAATAGCTTGTTATAATATTGTTCAACGATGTGTACCGCGTGAATTTTTTAGATTCGAGCTTTTTTCGTTTTTTACTAATGTAAAACTACACACTTATCAAAAATAATGAAAGTATATAACTTTTTTTTAATTTTCGATTCTTGCTCTTTGAATTTACTCAATAATTATCTTTGTTTTTCGTAGCTAAATTAAAAACGAATAATAATAATACTCGAATAATTTTTTTAATCGCCAAGCAGCTCTTATAACGTATTCTAACCAAAAGTTTTTTTAATATTTATTCTAGAAAATGTTTTTCTGTCTGCAAATTGAGGTTAGTGACAATTGATCAAGATCATACGATGTTTAATAGGAAGTAAGTTCTTTCCATTATACTTATCATCATTAGACGCATTATACAAAGCTCCACGCACAATTGTTGGTTTAGTTTGCTGTATATTTGCCATTATACATGTGCATACCATTCGTTTGCTTTTTCGAACGCTTTTAGCGTTTCACAAAGAGTAAAGTACATTTAAGTAAGAGAGTGAGAGGCAAAAACAAAAAAAAACGATTGTCGTAATCTGGCGCAGGTATAATAGAAGGTGCATTAACAAGGAAATATACTAATGGTTTTTTTGGTCCTGGAGTATTAGAAAGGAGCTTTCGTTACGCTTCTAACCCACCGCTTCGTTTGTAATGAATTAAAAAATTACTAACATGCCTATACTATCTCAATAACCATCTCTCAACGAAACAAAAAATAAACCAAAAAAAAAAACAGCATGCGAATGAAAACGTAACGCTGAAAATTGGTTGACGGAGAGGATCGCTACGCGTTACATGTTTACAATTATCCTACAGTACCGGGCATAAAACTTCGGCCTGTCTCGTATAATACAAGATACGAAAATAAGATTTATAAAGCCCATAAAACGAGCTTATAATACACATTCATATACGTAAGAGTCGCGCATATTTTATTACACATATATTCAGCTCGAGTGTGTGAGTGTGTGCCGCTGCTTGCACTGCTACGCGAAAGAAAAAAAGGGCCGTTTTTCGCCGACGACCGCAAAACGAATTCATTTAATTTTCGCTTGCGCCGTAAGTGTTTCTTTTACTTTTTTTCTCCTTTCATTCAACATTACCATAATTATTCTCGTCACTAAGAATCTCTCAATATGCATACAATCATTTATGTATAAAATATACAAGCTGTGTGTGCAGCATACATCCACGGGGCGCTCGTTTTTCATTCTCTTTCGGCTCTCTCGCACTACTCTCTTTCCCTAACACTCTTGCCTCTTATTCAGCGATGCAGTGTGTGCCTCGAAATTACAACGAGGAACGAGAAGAAGAAAAAGAGAAATGCTCGCGAGTATAGTCGCACACGTAGGTGCAATCGTGAAACTCGCTCTTTCAGCCCCGTTGCATTTTCCAGCTTGCCGGGCACAAGATGAAACGTCGCACTTTTTGAATAGTTTTTCAGCCGGACCGAATCGCGTGTTTTTGCGGGTAGTTGCATTCGAGTGTAGGTGCCACACACGCGTGCAGCAGTTTATAGAGCTTTCCACCGTGCCGTACCGCTGCTGTTTATGCACAGTGCCTCGATTGTGCGGTTGAAGGAAAAAAAAATTATGCATGAAAAATTGAAACAAGCGAGTAGAGAGAGCGCGCGCGACACAGTAGATCAGTTGTCGATTCCAAAACTTTTTACTTCACAGCTCCAGTGCTGAGCGAGAGTGTTCACGTGTAACGGTTGAGGACATGAGGCGAGAGTGATGGGAGAGCTTGGTGGGGCGACTACCGATTTCCGTGGCTTACGTGTAGTTGCTGTTGTTCAAATCAGTTCAGTAATTAGCCAGCTCAGAGCTAATAAGCAAACATTTCCTCTGCTCAGAGTCGCCCTCGCAAGCTCTCGTCTCAGTCTCGGCTCACCGCTTTGGAGCCCAACTAGACGCAGACACGTAGTTATATTTTATTAGTTTCAATAAAGTTACAGTTGTTACAATAAAAGCTAATCACGAGTACGAAACTTGATTTTTACGCAACACCCAAGTCCGACTCGTCGAGTTAATTATAAACAAAAACATTGGTAGCAGAGCGCGATTAGCATACGCAAGACAATCTAAGTCAAAACAAAAGGAGAAGTTTATCCGTTACGTAGACAGCAGCGATATTTTGGCGCGAAAAATGGCCAGCGCAAAGTTATTTAGCGCCCAAATGAAGTTGGTGAATAATATTGCCAACTTTTTTGAAAATTCTACCACGAAAGTTAATAAGGAGTCCCAGACCCTGGAACATTTCAAGTGTCGCCTCGAGCTGTTGGAGAAGTATTGGGATAAGTTTATGAACCAACATGATGAGCTGATTCCGTTTGAGCAAGAGCTGAAGGCAGAGAAGTATTTCGTGGAGGATTACTATACGCTGATCGAGCTGGAGTACTCAAAGGTGAAGACTGCGATAAAACAAATAATTACGTCGCTATCCGAGAGTCAACAGCAGCCATCCCCAAGAGAAGCTGATCGAAGTACTGTGATATTCGATCAGTCATCGGCGCTCCCGAAACTGTCATTACCAACGTTTTCCGGCCAGCAGGACGAATGGGAGAGTTTTAAACAGCGATTCTGCTCTCTCGTTCGCGATAATCAAGCAATCCCGAAGGTGGCGAAATTGCAGCATTTGCTAAATGCAGTGCAGGGCCCGGCAGCGATGAGACTCAAAGGCATTGAGATCACCGACGCAAACTTTGATGTGGCCTGGGAAAAGCTAGCAAGACGCTACGACAATCGACGAATACGATTGTTCAACGCATTGGAGCACATCATCCAACTACCGACGGTCAAGACTCGGACCGCGGAAGGACTCACGGACTTGATCGATCGTTCGGAGGAGGCGGTCCGCTCGCTGAGAGAACTGCAATGTCCTGTGGATTATTACGACCACTGGATAGTGCATTGCGTGGTAAGAAAACTCGACACAAATTCTCGCGAGACGTGGGAAATCTCGCGCGAGGAGTCGACAGCTTTTCCGACTTACAAGGACCTGCTGAGCTTTTTGGAGCGACGCATACAATCGCTGGAGCAGGTACAGTCGTCGATCGAACCAGCGGAGCACCCAGCCCAGCAGGCCAAAAATCGAGGCAGCGGGCATCGCCGAGTGCTGGTCAACAACACGCTGACCGCGGAATCATCGGACTCAAGAGCTGTACCGGTGTGTGATTTGTGCCAGGCTGGGCACTGGCTGCATCGATGTCATAGATTCATCGCCATGAATCAGCAGCAGCGCTTTGATGTCTGCAAAAATAAGCGCCTGTGCTTGAATTGCCTGCACAGATCGCACGTCGTCGAGAGATGCCCGTCTCAGTCGCGGTGTTTGGTGTGCAAAGGCAAACATCATACGAAGCTGCACACCGATGGGACCAGGAATACCCGCTCAAGAGGATCAAGCAACAACGAGGAACAGCATGATGACGGACGGGATTCAGCGGCGGACGATCGCGAGCTGCGCACGGTTAATGCGCACGCGACAACGACCGATGCTGAGGTCTTGCTGGCTACAGCGATGATACTGGTGGTGGCTGCGGATGGCCGAGCGTTGCCCGTTCGAGCTTTGATCGACCCGTGCTCGGAGAGGACGTTCATAACTTGGCGAATCGCACAGCAATTGAACTTGAAGATTACCCGCATACAACCGCTGAACGTCGTTGGCCTGGGCGCCGCCACATCGTCAAGAGCGCACTCCGAGATGCATTGCAGGGTCAGGTCGGCTCGGCAGGCGGATTTCGCTGTTGATCTGCAGATGCTCGTCATGACGGATTTGACGCAGTGCTTACCGCAAAATAAGCTTTCGCTTGAAGTGTGGCCGCACGTGAGGAGTCTGAGGCTCGCCGATCCAAAGTTTGCCCAGCCGGCAAAGGTCGATTGCGTACTCGGCGCGGATGCATATTCAGCCATCATCTTGGACGGATTGGTCAAAGGACCTGTCGGCACACCCGTAGCTCAGGACACTGTGTTCGGATGGATCCTGACAGGGCGGGCGCTACCGAATGAGACAAAATTCTCCAACTTGGCCATAAGGACTTTCCATACGCATACTGAGCCGGCGATCTCAGCGCAGATAGCAAAGCTTTGGGAGCTTGACAACGTCGACAGCGCGACGCATCTATCTGAGGAGGATAAGCGCTGCGAGGAGCAATTTCAGCTTACCCATACACGAGACGATGCCGGACGATTCATTGTGCGACTGCCTTTTGCGCGGAGGACGAACTTGATTGGCTCACGATCGGCGGCGCACGCCTGCCTGGTGAGATCGGAGAGGCGCTTTCAGCGAGACCCGCGGCTTGCTGAAGCCTATACAGCCTTCATGCAAGAGTACATACGACTCGGACATATGGAGCTGGTTCCGGACGCGCAAATCAATCGGCCCGGTGCCTACTTACCTCATCATGGCGTGTTTCGCGCGGACAACCCGGACAAGATACGAGTTGTATTTAATGCATCGCATAAGGCAATGAATGGTATCTCACTTAATGATACATTATTGCCGGGGCCGAAACTACAGGCTGACATTACGGTAGTAGTGTCGAATTGGCGGCATTTCAAAGTAGCGGGAACGACAGACGTCGAGAAAATGTATCGCCAAATCCTCGTGCACCGGGACGATGTCGATTGGCAACGAGTGCTGTGGCGTGCCGACCCATCGGAAGCTGTGAGGGAATACCGATGCACTACCGTAACCTATGGCACTGCAGCTGCCCCATTTCTGGCGTTGCGAGTGATGAAGCAACTGGCTGAGGACGGATGCCATGATTACCCGGAGGCTGCACGTGTGCTGTCACATCAACTCTACGTCGACGACATCTTCTTCGGAGCGGACTGTGTCGAGGAGGCTATGTGTGCGCGAGACCAGCTCATCGGCTTGCTGGCGACGGCTGGAATGAAGCTTGCGAAGTGGGCAGCGAGTGACCGCAGCATCATTCAGGACCTGGTGACGTCTTCCCCCGAGTCGGTCGCAATGAGGATGGACGAGGCTGTCTCAACTCTTGGATTGAAGTGGATTCCCGCGCAGGATTGCTTCACTTTCCATTTGACACCACGGACGATGCCATCGGCGGTCACGCGTCGATCGATTTTATCGGAGCTTTCGAGGACGTTCGACCCGATGGGGTGGCTCGCCCCGGTGCTCGTCACAGCAAAGGTACTGTTGCAGGACGTCTGTCTGGATGGTACAGATTGGGATGCTCCCGTCTCGTCGCCTTTGGAGCAGCGTTGGGCGGAGTTCTGCACGGCACTACCTGACGTCTCTTGCATTCGTGTGAATCGATGGATC